TCGGAATGAGAAATTGGGAGCATTGGGTGTACCTTTCATTACCATTGGCTTTTAGCACAATCATTGTCGTTACAATACAGCTTTTTCCGTCATTTTCATAAGGCATTACTCTGTGATTTAAAAGTCTTGCGGTTGCGAGCAGTAAGTAATTGCATCCATATAGAAAATCTTCCGGTAGTTTTTTCACTGTTTGGCTGGATGTAGTGCACCTATTCATCTAAACGTGCAACATTAACCGGCGTATTGTAAGGTCCGTCTTAAGAGTCTTTGCTTTAGCCAGATATTTGGGCTGAGAAAGAGTGTGAGGCTTGCAGTATGATATCAGCCGACGATATAGACCTTATTGCGTTTACGTTGAGGAACGTTAATAATCATTTTCGCCTACGAAAGCTATTACAGCTGGGAAAAGATTTCGATGGAGGAAGTGAGCGATATGGTGGTATGTGTATTACTATATTACGATGGTTATCAAACGAGAGATGAAACGTTAAGTCAGTTTACAGCAGGACGTCTGACTGGGGCCGGGCTCTTAATGATGACTAATGAAATTTACGAATTATGATCTAGTTATGAATTGATGGGCCATGGAAGTTGCAGAGAGCGTTGATTTGATGCCGGTGGTTCATAAGTTGCATATTGCATTGGACGCTAGCTGGTGTTTTCTCTCTCATATGGACCGGGCTTGTTGTCTCAGCAGTTGTGTGCAGGGTGTAAAATCGGATTTTATAGTTGAGAGTGTCGACTAGCGATAGATATTTTGTACTATTATAAACCGAAAATTTCTCTCGGTGTAAGTTGCACGCGTTGCTTCGTGCTTAGCATAGGGAAAAGTCGATTAAATGATTACCGCATTGTTGTTAAGCTCACTCGTCTGCACAAGCATGTAATAATGCGCGCGCCCGTTGCATTGGAATATTATGCATACGCAGTGTTTTAAATGAACAACGAGATTTTGCTCAATTCATAGCCGGGCTTTTGGAAATTTCTTCTACGGTCAGTCGGTAAGTAATCGTGTTATGTACGCTTGTGTTGATGCCTGGGATTCTTAAGAATTCGTGTATAATCTGTTGCTTGCGATGACGTCGTGCTGGACGATATGGTCGCCGCGGGATATATGACTGGGATTCTAGCCTTGCATTGTTTTTTAAGATTTCTCTCTATTAGAATCGTTACCGAATACCAGAGACAGTATGGCTAATTGTCAGGCATTTGTTCGAACGGAAGAAATATATATTGTTCCGGTTCGGTCATGTACTTGTTGATTTTGTTGCTTATTCTGTGTAATTATTCGTGGTTTCTGTATCGGGAATGCCGGTTTTGGTATAAATGAATGCTTTGTTTGACGCCTCTTTTCAAGCTGCTTTTTAACATTTAAAAAATTATGAAAATACAACAATAATACTGTTAAACCAGGACGAATCTTCTACTCCATTTTTTTTCGTAATAATAATACTCTTCACCAGAACTCCCGATCGCGTTCCCATCTTCCGCAGTAGTTTTCGCGTAACTGTAGCTATAAACAAGACGTTTCCGTGGATCGCTATCGAATCTAACAGTTATTGTCCGCTTGTAAGTGTGTAAGGAAAAGACGACGAAAGCTTTCGTTTTTTCGGAAAGTTTCAGTGGTGTAAAATACTTGATCTCATTTGCCGAGTGCGCACTCGCAGCATTGTTCATGCAGTGCATACTCATTATTTACGGACAGCAAGACAGTTATAATTAATACTGTTAATAGCTTGGAAAGTGTGACAGTATATTAGGAATAGATTAAAGATCTCGCGCAGAAAAACAGCACCGTGATTGTTTTCTAATGAATTTACACCGCTATTATTGGTCGTGAGCATGGTACATGGTAGTCAGATGTGTAGAGAAAAGGCAATTATTATAACCCGAACCACTTGGCCCTGCGTTCTTTCGGCGTGTGTTTTTCCGTATAGGTTCATTCGTGACAGGTTGTTGTTTCAAGTGTGTCGGTAGACTAATTAACTAGCTTGTACGTGTAATGGAGCACTGTGATAATTTTTCTCGTTAATTATGAAATGTGCGAAATGAAATGGCCAAAGAACAGTGTACAGTCACGTTAGAAATGTGCAAACGGAGATAGAAAGGTATCCATTATATTCAGTCTTCGGTACACGTAAATGATCATGACGTGCTTTTGTCTTTCTGTACATCCAGTATTGTGCAGTGAACAGGCTAACATAGCCGCAGGACATCAATTTTTTAAGCCTGTGAGCGTATTGTTTTGTATTTCGTCAGTAAAAATTACTGTCTCCGTCGGAGATGGATTTGAGTTTTTCCAGTGTTGTTTCTTAATTATAAAGTTCCTGAAATTATAATTTATTAATAAATTTGAGAGGTGAAAAACAGAGAGCAAAAGGCTACGTCGCTGAGTATGAATATGATAATGATGCAAGTGTGTGTGTGTGTTGGAGAGGTGAACAACACATTCTTGCAGTCTGGTTTTACCACTTGAGATTAGTGGCGTTATTGGTAATTGGCCTGCATGGCTGCGCAGCATGCATTACATTAGTCGGCTCAACTGTGTGTATGTGCTAATATTCATCTCTTTATGAAAACAGAGATGAAATAGAGGCTTGGCTCATCGCGGTTGAAAATTTGCAGGCAGCAGCAGAGGGTCGAACGATATTGTTGCAAGATGAGATGAGGGTGAAAATTTTAAAAGAGTGTGTTGGTAGCTGTACAGGCTTGTACGTCTGGCTTTATGATATGCGCCAGTTTGCAGTACGAAAGTTATGATATGTAGCCGAATAACAAAGGAAAACCTGATTAGCGCCCCAGCTCGCGTCAGTGCTAATTTTCCAAGTTTAAGCTGAGGCCGGCTTAAGACTCTCTTAGGTGAGCATTCTGCCGAGCAATTCAAACCGGCATTAATAAATTATAACTCACGAGTATCATGTCTCCTCATCCATATTTCTGACGTGACGTTCGTATTAGACTTGAACTTTGGTAAAGGCTCCTCTCCTATACAATGGCTACAGGAACGTGTCTAGAAGAGGTACAACTTTTGGTAGGAATACCTTTTCTCTACGTTTATCTTAACCTTTGAGGACTTGTTTTTCAGTTGAAATATTACTGCACCCAGAACACCTAAAACTGTCATCAAATACCTAAAACCCAGAATAAGTGTACACATAACACAAAAATAGAATTTGTTTTTTAATTTCATGTGTCGAAGTATCGAAGTCGGTTTTTTGGCGGTACAATGAGTTCGGAACTACAAAGGAGCAGATGTCCGTCGGTACGAAGTATTACCAGTACTTAGCGGCGTGAGACATGACTGTAGTTTTCTGAAGATATGAAAACCTATTAATCGTATATATTGCAAATGCACATTTGTGATTGGGTTATACAACAAACTGAAACAGTTATATGCTCCGACCCCAGAATGATAGAAAATTAATGGTCAGTTCGGTGCGGTTTTATTGTTCTGATGTACCGTGGTTTTAAGTGTGATATTATTGCTGTGCTTTTTCCAATGCGCGATAGTTAATGGTGCTTACTTAGCGGCCAGCAATGCAGGGTATACTCTCGTTATGCGTTGATTTCCGTTTGCCATGGTTTTGTCATTGGGTTCCCAGTATGTATGCTATAAACTATGCCCATAATGCACAAATGCACATAGTCATACGTAGTCGATAAATGAGCTCAAATGACTTCTTTTCTTGGCTGGATTACGTGCCATAGAGCGATTAAGCTGAACTGGTAGTATGGTTGAAAGTTCGCATCGTTGAAATTTCAAAACTGACGTGTTTGCCAGATTGAAGATGTTTACTTAAGAGATATTATTTAATTAGCTAGCGATATTTTCCCCCTTGTGCAGAACCGTTTCTTGATGGTTTCTGCGTTTGGGTTAGCTGGCTTGTCAGGTGAACTGCGGACGTATATACACGCATAATTCTTAAAACTGAGCACGCATAAATGAAATCATCGGTCCCAAAAGGACCGCGTTTTCAAACAGCACTAGTTGACGTTTGGAATTAAAAGTTTCTGCTGGAGTCATTAACGAATTAAAAAATATTTTCAGTTTCATACTCGTACCGCATGTATTTATGTAATTTGAAGTTGAGCAATACACGGTTATTGTTTTAGTAAAATTTATAACTGGCATTTAATTATATCTATGTGTAAAGCGATAATCGTTCTTTCTCTCTAAAGTCAATGTCATTTTTGTGAGTGCTCATCAATGGTAGAAACGATTAGATAACCGCTATGATGTGAAGAGTAAACTTTCTATTCACCGCAACAGTGCCGCTGTATGTTGATGTGTGATAATTTTATTTTGCAGTCTGATAGCATCATTCATTGAAGAAGTTCAACATAGTCGGGTTTTATGGTATTTTAGAATTATTGCATTATGCGATATGTCGTAGTATAGCCGCAGTCAATAATGCTATCTTTGGCGCTATCAGCTGACTCATTAAACATTTGGCGGTAATTTTTAAACTTTGTTTGGCTGTCTTGGTATGCTGCGCTTAAAGAATTTCCGTTGCACGTATTTGAATATTTTTCCACAAATTATTTAAATCTTGATCGCCATGGCATTCGGAACGTTATCTCGTCATAGGTGTGTTGTCTTAAGGATAAAAATGGTTTGCCTGTGACAATGGTGATAAGGACCGTGGATTTCTAATGGATAGCAGTGAAATTAGTTGTTTCTATATTATTATCGAACGACAAAAACTTGAAAACTGAGCGCCTAAACCGAAGGCAACGGTTTTTTAGGCTTGCAGCTAGATTCATTTTTGTTTGAGGCCTTGCACTTAGGAAAATACTGATTATTTGTTTGATTATCTTATTGAAATTTTTGTGGGAAGTTGCGAACGAAGTTAAGAAAACGAAAACCGAATTTTGAACAGTGTAGTAAAGGATGCTTAACTATAGCTAAATTGTATTTGGAATCGTCGTATAATTAATCTCATATGCTTCGAATTGAGAAGATTGTACATAGTTGGAATCATAACTTCCGTTTATTATAGAGTCGGTTTGGGATGATCCGCTGATCAAAGCGAAGTAATGGAAACCGAAACCGCTGCTCTACCGGTATGCCTCCCATTCCTCTCGTGCAGCTATTCCCCGTACATGAACGGTGACAACGGCAGTAGTCCGCTGCCTTGTGACGTAGCAGCGGCAGATACGGCAGATAACGAAGCCGTGTCATCTGTCCCCACCAATGGGTCATCGGTCGACGTTGGCGACGTGTCGGTGGAACGGTGTAATGGCCTGTCACCTGTGGCGACAAGTGGTGAGGATAGTGTGCCTTTCAAGTGCCATTCCAACGGGACTTCTTCGGCCTTCGAGGGGAAGGTGGTGGCTAATCCGGACGGTGTCATCTGCTGTATGCAGGACGGTGAGGACATCCTGGACCTCTGGCCATGGTCCCCGAATTCCTATCAATATTCTTCCGAATCAGCAGCATCCCCGAGCATTCCTCCGACCCTGTATCCGTTTGATTTTCTCCTCATCGTGCAGCGGGGCACGGTGAGTTATTTTAGATGTTGTTTTCCTAATGGGCATCTTCCAGCCTCCACGGTGTTGGAGCGCTACCGGAGGCTTCCGCTGCCAATCTCCACTGGTGAATCTCAGCTTGTCTTCATGTGTTTGCTATGTGATTGCCAAACCCTGGCGAACCACGAAGCGTTTGTTCAGCATGGCGAAGCGCAGCATGACCTTTCGGTTGATCTGGAGGACTGCGGTGGAATCATACAGAAAGATGCTAAGGGCACGATCGTCGTGACGAAACTCTTGTCACTACGCGCAATAGACCGATTACCAGAAGTAACCGTCAAAACGGAAGAAGTAGCGTTGAAAACCAATGGCTTTAATGATGGCGATGATTCGGATCATTCGACGCATTCCTTTCCTGAGGATCTCACCCAGCCGACTGACAGTGATCTGAACACCGCGAAATCAAGTAGCGTTGAGTGTCCCAAGTGTGATATTGTTCTGGGCTCCAGCAAATCGCTAGGCGGACATATGACCATGGTCCATTCGCGGAATTCGTCAAAGAAACTGAAATGTCCCAAATGCAACTGGCACTACAAGTACCAAGAAACATTGGAGATCCATATGAAAGATAAACACCCAGAATCAGAAGAGACATGTCCCTACTGCCTGACCAATCAGCCGCATCCTCGACTGTCCCGCGGGGAAGTCTACAATTGCGGCTATAAACCGTTCCGTTGTGAAACCTGTAATTACTCCACGACGTCGAAAGGAAACTTAACCATTCATATGCAGTCTGATAAGCATGTGACCAACGTCCAAGAACGACAGAAAAATGGCGGTGAGAACGGAGGAAATGCGGAGAATAACAGTAACCTGAATAATATTGTCCCCGATGAACCGCCGGTAATTCAACGCTCCGCATCTACCAGTTCGGCACAGCGCGAACCGTTCCGGTGCGAAGTATGTGGTTATGAAACCCGCGTCCAGCGCAACCTGCGGATTCATCTTACCAGTGAAAAACACCAACAAAACCAGGCTTTATTTTTCCAGTCGCAGATGGGCAACATTCATCCCAATATGGCAGCGGGTTTGTTGGAGGGCAGTCCGTTAATGTTTATGAATATGAATCCGGAGATGATGGGTCATCATCCGCTGTACATGATGGGCATGCCGGCACTGATGGTCGATGCCGGACAGTCGCGCCCGGTGGATAAGATCCCCGAGAATGCCAGGACACTGCAGTGCCTAGTGTGCTCCGTGTTTATGGTGGATTCCTATGAAGAACTGCGCGAACATGTGACCCGTGACCGGACTGATAGTCGGGAGCAGTCGGATAGCCTAATTATTAATGGGCAGTTGTCAATGTGTAAATACTGCCCGTACAAGACCCCCTTGAAAGCCAACTTCCAACTGCACTGTAAAACGGATAAACACATACAAAAAATGCAGCTGGTCAATCATGTACGGGAAGGCGGGGTGGACAATGAATGGCGGCTGCAGTATCTTAACACCAGTAATCCAGTTCAGGTAACGCATTATTTAGCGCGACATGAAAATTTTTTGGTCACTTAATCCGAGTAAATGTGGCATATCGTCTAGACATGATTGCTAGCGTAATGGTATTTGAGCTAAATTATAGCGTATAGTATAACTGATGAATTCACGAAACCATGAAAATATTTGTGATTATTCCAAATAAAAATATGAACAAAATTATGAAATTTAATTAAAGTTTTTGACGGCGTAAATAAATGCTCAATCCGCTTTGAGCGCTCTGCTTTGACAACGCGGATTCTCGGTTATTAAATTTTGCTGTACAAAATGAACAATACCGGTAACGTAAAATGGTCTCTTTGTGATTTTTAAGATTGTATTTGCCATTTGTCATGTGTGGCTGGTTTCGCATTTGCAATGTGTAAATTGCCAGAAGGCTCATCAGTTTCTTAATAGTAATCAAGTACTATTGATGACTCTCTACCATAATTTAAAGGTTTTGGCTCGCACTAGCGGAATCATAATTTGCCTTCATTAGTGAAGCACTTAAAGTTATGACTAGTTGTACAGTGCACACACCAAGCGCATAACGCATGTCGTGCAAATGAATTTAACGGGTTTTCTTTTTTCTGCGTTGTGTGCAGGTCCGCTGTAATGCATGTGATTACCAGACCAGCAGTCTTCATCAGCTCCGTAGTCATTTGGAAAACAATCAGCAGCACGAAGTTAATGTGGCGGCCTTAGTGAAATTGCACGACCTTCAATTAGACAGTGGTGCAGCCAGTGTTAATGCAGCGGCAGCTCGGGAAAATTTGCTTAATGCCTCATCAGCTTTAATTCCCTCGTCATCATCGGCGTCGTCAACATCAACACGGAAATGGAAATTATTCTGCTCACTGTGCACTTTTACCGCTAAATACCAATCAGTTTTCATGCAGCATGTCCGCAGTGCTGGGCATTGGAATCAGTGGAAGCAGCACCAACTCGATGCACAACAGCACTCTGATTTAGCTTACTTCATTACGGTTAAGCCAGCAGAGAGCGATTTGGCTAACCGGAAACCGGCGGGAAATCTTCATAACGGCGGAAGCCAGCCGGACTACAGTGAGTTCGAAGAGGAGTCCGATGAAGATAACGCTGACGATATCGGTAAGTATACCAACTCTGTACCGTGGATTATACCGGGAAGCTTTTCCTGTTATAAAAATGATTCCTTATCGCTATGCTTCCAGTTTATGAAACATTTGATGATGAAAAGATAAAACTGTCAAATATTTACCGGAAATAGGAGAGTAAGCCTAATATTTTTAAAATTTAAGCAGTGTATTATGTTAAGTGCAACACTTCCAAGTTTTCCTGAAATGCAGGGGATTAATGACAACGGTAACTGTAATAGGTAACCAAAAGAAAATACAAGGTGTTTAAATTGATCCAAATTCGAGTAAGACTCCACAGTTGTCCCCTTAAAATTTGTAACAATCCATTTGCCATATTATTTTTATCTTGACGGATCGAAATTTATTGACTGGCGCGACTATTGCATTATGAGTGTTAGAGAAAGATTTTCCCTGAAAGTGTGATGGATACCAGAAATTCACCGGCTGCAGTACGAGCGAACCGTTAAATTATTGCCTCTTGCGCGGCAGGTTTTTACATAGGAGTACAAATCAATATAGATGCCGGTTGATTGTGTATACGTGCATCTGGTGTAGTATTTATCGTGCACAAAGCGCCTGAAGCAGAACGTAATAATTATATTTCTCTTAGCATCCGCGGCAAACATGCATCTAGCACCTAATGAGCACAGTTGTTGAACTTCACTTTAGCTGGAGCCTTTTTAATGATACTTTCCACTGGTGGGGTAATCACTAATTTATGATTCGTACCAATAATGTCGGTGACGCTAGAATCAGTTTTCAGCCGTATTAACCGGTGCAACATCGATGTCTGTCCAACAATAATTATAGGCTTCGTTAATCATAATTTTCTGCGCTTATTCTCCGTGAATAACATTCGTAAAGTGCGTGGCAAATAGGGTTGAATTTGTTCTTACGCTTATAACCTTAACATTACCAAAGGATGCTATCTTGGTTTAATAAATATACGTCATAACGAGCGTTCTGATATCATTTCCGGCAACTTATCTGTCGATCCACCTTGATCGCTTCTAGGTGGTGATGGTTTTTATTTGCTGATTTTATTTTGCAAAATTTCTTTGCATCCGGTTTTTCCGGTGTGTGGGTAATTACTGTAAAAGAATTGAGTTACTAAAAGATATATGACAGTTGACGTAATTTCCTGTTGTGCCGTTAATTTGACATATAATTTCAGATTTCCTTCTCCAACAATGGCTTTCGCCAGCTGTTTAAAAAAATTTTTTTAAACACTTTCCTGCATTCAATTAAGTAGATGATTGGCTGTTCTAATCAGCGAGTTCATAGTTTGCCGGCACCGCTGTGAAAGGCTGTTTCGGGATTTTTTCAAGGTACCGATTTAACGGTACCGATTTAACTTGAAGTTGATTCATGGAGAACAATAGAAGAGTGGTGGCGATAGTCATTGTGCTCGTATAGGGTGGGCGAAATTTTTTAATTGACAATTGAATATTGTAAGCAGAAATATGCAGGGAAAGCCATCTGCGTAATGGCCTTGTTTGCTTCCATAAAACTGAATATTACTGGGGCGCTTTCGCTGCAGCCACGAGCGATGATGATTGCATGTGATTAGGCACGAATGCCCAACAAATAACGATCGGGCGCTCGGTAATAAGATTTAAAAATGAGTAAGCATGACGCTCGCGCTCCACCGCAATATGAAATCCGGTTTACTAATTTACACCCGGCAAATCTCGTACGGGGTATTGAAGTTCGGAGTTTAATGTGGCATACACGTAAATGATTTTATTATACATGTTATCATGTGGGAATTATGAAAGACACATAATTGATATCAAGTCATTGCCGTCAGTTGGAAATTTTCAATTTAGGTTTTAGTGACATTTCTGCAAACAACACATGTCGAAGCGTTGGCGTCAGAACCGGGTAAATTTTCCCCATGTAATCAAAATAAACACTTTATAATAACTATCTTTAAGCCGGGCATCCGTCGATATATGGAATTATAGGATTCTTGATTACACTGGCGTAAGTATTAAAATACTGTAAATTTAATTGACCGGTTCGGTACTTGAGTTTTCCGTGAATGATGACTTACGATATTATGTATATAGACGAAATTAATGCTCGTCAGAGAAATGGAATATAAGCTTTCGTAATCGTGCTAACTGTGTAGGTACTTGTATAAGAGCGTAAGTCATTAACCTGGCTCTGATGTTAAATCCCCGATGCATATAGCGGTTTAATCGATCATTCGGTCAGCTTACAGGTGGAACTTATGAAACAGTTTATACTTGTGACATGTAATCACTCTTGGTTAAACTGTGTCGTGTTCGCTAGAAAAATTTCTCTCGTATTGTTTTCATCGGCGGTTAATCTATGGGCGTCAGTGACTAATTATGATAAAGTGAACCTAAAATGTAAATCATGGCAACGAAATTTGATGAACATTGTGCTCAAACGAGTAGCGCTACGCCGAAATAAACATAACATTTTATATTATAAAGTCATTTAACTGTTAATTGAATCAGACTGCCAGTGTAATGTTCTTCGCCTTTTGTTTTGTTTACAGATAGTGAAAATTTCATTGGTAAAATAGACTGTGGCGCTTTAAATGCGTAGTGTAATGAAGTCACCTTTGGTGCGATGTATGCACTTACGAGACGGCTTGAAGCATACGAAGGTTTCAGTGTTGCTTATTGTATGAAATGATGTTTCAGTCGCATTAGATTTGTGAAAATTTCGATTTTTATTAGCGTCTGCAAGATTGTTCAGATGTGACAAGCCGGTAACAATGCCCAGAACATGATATGTACACAAGGCATGTAACAACAACTGGGCAAAATGCCTGGCGGAAGTGACAATCATTCGTGGCTTAAATACGTGCTTGAAGCATTTGCCGATAATATATATGAATAACAGTGTTACCATACTCACTTCGTCCTTAACAGATTAATTTGGCTTATTTAATTACAATATGAAATTTTTCCTTGAAATTTTAAACATGGTGAAGGGCGTTGACGTTGTTGAAGTTGATGCTGCTGTGGTACTGCTGAATGCTGATGCTAGCGACAAAATGCGCAAATTGAGCCCCACATGCCAAAGTAGTTTCATCATTTCTCTCGAGAGCAGATTACCAGTGCAAATATTAATTTATCATCGCGAGGTAATTACGTTGGCGCACCCCGGCAGTTTTGACAAAAATTAAACATGCGCATTGATGCGAATATTATATATGTGAAGTCGGCTACGTACCGACAACTCAAGGGTCATTTGCTGTGCGTGCTTAAGCAACCAAGTTTGAGCATTTTATTAGACGAAAGAGAATGTTTCCTGGTCTTTGATATTAGTGGCTCAGCTTATTCGCTAGTCATTATTAGACAAAAGAAATGGAAGAATAGTCATGGAAAAATAATTGCATATCTCTGCACATTTTTCGTGCTTAATCGTCACACCGCGTCTACACAGCTCATGTTTATTTTCCACGCTGCAATCTTGCCAATTGTGCAGTTGTTTTAACTGCCTGTATCGACACTTCGCCCTGATAAGCTAAATAACAAGTTCGCCCTAATGGATGTTATTCCATGCAGAAAAAAGCAGTTTTGATTTGCGTTTTATACGGACGCTTACGTTAACTTGCCGATGAGGGCGAAACGGTTAAACAATTTGGGATATTTAGTTTTTCGCCAGTCTATGGCATGCGGTTAGTCGCTATCCATTATAAACAATACAAAGTGTTAATTTTTTATGTTTTAAAATTGGTACACGTGAAATTCGCTTGTTTTACATTTCCTACCGATAGCCGACACGAAGTTGTGGCATGAGTTGGCGTTTTTTATATCCACTCTTTCTTATTTCTCTCGAAGTTCGTTTCATTATCTTTCTTCCATCTGACACTCATGTTTAACTTTTCAGAAAGAGATAATGGTCATCAGTACTCTCCGTCAGAATTGGATGACAGCCTGAATCCGGATTCCGATCGTTCCTCCATGCTGCAGACATTCACGTGTCCACTGTGTCAAGAAGCCTATCCAGAGCGGAACCGACTGGAAACCCATCTGATCAGCAAGCACAACGTGCATGCTGAAGCGCTGGAGCGTCTGATGATGCTGGTGGAAACGAGCGGTATCTGGAATAACGGTAATCGGCGTTGCGCTCGGGGCAGCGGTTCACGCGATGTCTCGCCCAGCTCCTCGGATACCGACACCAAGATGTTGTCCGGTGGACCCAGCGGGGATGGGGGCGACGTGTACCGGTGTCAGAAATGCGCCATGACCTTCAATGATATTGAACAGCTGTATCAGCACCAGAACACCACCGGACATCTGGAGTTAACCCAGACGCCCCGGGGACCCGGTTATCTGTGCTGGAAGAAGGGATGTAATCAGTACTTCAAAAGCGCCACTTCCCTACAAATTCACTTTCGGGAAATTCATGCACGGAAGACCGGTGGAGAAAGGATGGATGTGGATGATATTGGCGGAGTTGGTGATGAGAATTCTCTCGGTGAGGAGATAGAAGATGAGATGAATACCCAGGCCCTGGCGGAGAACGGCTATCGTGATCAACAACGGAAGTACAAGTGTCACCGGTGTAAAGTCGCCTTTACTAAGCAGATCTATCTGTCAGCGCACAATAAGACGCCGCAGCATCGGAAGGGCGAGAAATGTAACACATCCATGGAGAAGTATCAGGATCCGAATCGGCCGCATAAATGCGAGGTATGTAAGGAATCCTTCACGCAGAAGAATATCCTCCTGGTGCATTATAACTCGGTGGCACATTTACATAAGATGAAGAAGTATCGATTGGGAGGCGATGGGAAGTTGGAGAATCTTGGAATTCTGGAGCTGACGCCCCCACCCGCACACCCGGTGACCTCATCGTCGTCCTTGATCCCCACAGCCGTCAGTGTCCGGAAGAATACGTTTGAAGATGAAAATAAGCCATACCGGTGTGCGACCTGTCAAGTGGCATACGCTAGTAAATCCAATCTGGATATTCACTGGCGATCGGTGGCGCATCAGAGCCGGTTGGCGAAAAGTCAACAATCAGTGGTGATGGATCTCTCCAAACCCGATGACCCCGCCGCTCCCAAGGCCGCCACTTCGCCTGAGCGCCGACCATTACCAGCGGTCCCGGTACAAAAGGAGGAGATGGTTAATCCTGAACAGCGAAAACCCCGGTCACTTCCCGCAGTGGATTCCCCACGAGCGTCGATTCGTCCGGCAGGCCGCGGCCGTGGAAGTTATGGTTGGGCGTCGATGCTGGAAAATATCGGGGTAGAGATGGTGCAACAGTTTTTAGAGAATGGTCAAAAACCGGTGAAGAAAGCGCGGGATACGATGCTCGAACCGGTGGAAGATGAGAATCGACGTCCACCGTCCACTGCGGAGAATGAGTGCTCCACATGTCATAAAGTTTTTTCGTCGCCGTGGATTTTGAAAGTCCACCGCGAGTCGGCCCATGTGGATATTGTTCCCATTAAGATACTGGAGACTGTAGCGGCAGAGTACCGAAAAGTGTTCGCTGAAAAAGCCAAACCGAAGCCCAAAGAGGAAAGCAGCCAGCCGCCGGTTAAATGCTCACCGGAAGCGCCACTAAAGAAAGTGTCTGCGCAGTCCAACAGTCCGGTGCCACCGGCGAATTATTCGGCTGATCTGCTAGCGGCACAGATGCAGTTGCTGCCGCTATTGTATCCGGGTGTTGGCGGAATCGGTATGATGGGTATGCAGGCCATGATGAATCTCCAACCACCTTTAATTTCACCTAATGTGAACTATCCGGGTTTGACCGGTTTTGAAGCGTTGAACCTGTCGGAATTAAGCAAATCCGTGGGGATGCAGAATTCTTCGTCGAAACTGTTGGATTTACAATCAGGACAGAAGCGCAATCGTACGCGCATCACGGACGAGCAACTGCAAATTCTCCGAGCGAATTTCGATATCCGCAATCCACCCAGTGATGAACTACTGCAGCGGTTGTGCGAACAGACCGGGCTGGAACTGAAAGTAGTGAAGCACTGGTATCGGAATACGCTGTTCAAAGAACGCCAGCGCAACAAAGATTCCCCATATAATTTCAGTGTCCCGCCCAATCCGGTGGGACTGGAAATGGAAACCGATGAGAAAGTAGAAGAAAAGGGGCACCGGGTTGCGTCTCCAACGGAATCGGCGCCTGCCTTACCCGGTGTGGTGGTAAAGGAGGAGAAGATGGACGTGGACGAGCCCCGAGAGAAACCGGTGACGATTAATGTGGTTAAGCGCGAGGAAAGTGTCGATTCGATTGACAGCAGACGATCGCCCGCGGATCTACGACTGCAGGCGTCGCTGACACCTTCACCGACACCGGGCAGTAGTATGCCGTCGTCGTTGGTACCACGCGACGATCGACATGCCGGCAAGCGTGCTAACCGAACAAGATTTACCGATTTTCAGGTGAGAAAAGCTATCTGTTCTCTTGACAATAACACGCCACTGTTGGTTTTGTACGCTTACGTTGCGGCGAACGAACGCAAAAAAGCGCAGTCTTTATGTCACTATACTAGTGCAAGCTAACAGTTCCGATTGTCCACAGAACGGTTAACTATCGAATTCATTATCTAGAAACACTGTTGACAAAAGTGCGCACTTAAGTACTTTTCAATATAACCGTTACCGTTTACAGTCATCATTCGTACTTCTACTTACACTGATGTTTATTATTATTTGCACTTTTTATATGGAATATTTCTGAATAACCGTTAGTGTTGTATTCTTTCCTGCTCCGGTTTATATAAATACGACCGGTATAATGTTGGCATATTTGCAGTCGTAATTCACTTTTCTGCATTTCTGCAGGTGAAGGCCTTACAAGATTACTTCGACAAAAATGCCTATCCCAAAGACGATGACCTGGAAGATCTCAGCCGCGCTCTTGGCCTGTCGCCCCGCGTTATTACCGTATGGTTCCAAAATGCCCGTCAGAAAGCCCGCAAGACATACGAAAATCAGACTCCTCCCGAAGAAGAAGTTCCCATTATTCGGACGCCTAGTTTGAATTATCAATGTAAACGCTGTCTGCAAGTATTCCAACGCTATTATGAATTGATCAAGCACACGCGCTCGCATTGTTCGGGAACATCGGCCGGACTTGGTAGCGGTGGAAGTAAGGATGTTGATGATACCAACAGCATCGCGTCAACCAGTTCGGCGGTGTCTGGTAAAATCGGCGGTCAGAATAAGAATGAAACCCTAACTGCACAGCAGCAACAGAAGCTGTGGGAGGCCAGTATGGGTGTATCCGGCGTTGGACAAATGCTGGGAGTGCCGCCCTTCATCTTCCCAGGCGCAGGTAAAAACCAGTTTCTTGAAATTTAATTAGCATTTGAATACCTTTGGATATTCAAGCTTTACAGAATATGCGTTCTTGTTTATGATAATTTTTGCGCCTTGACGCTATTCTGATGATTTTATTGGTTGTATTGCTTTTAGCTGGGTTATATCCGCCGAACAGTCCCTTTGGAATTCTGCAAATGGAAGCGATCAGCAGTCGTGGTCCACAAAGCGGTTCTACATCTCCTTTTGCCAAAAAGCGCAGCGCATCATCAGATGAAGAAGAGGACGAATCCCCGAATAATAAACGAGTACGGACTACTATCCAGCCGGAACAACTGGACTATCTGTACCAGCAGTACAAATTAGATAGCAACCCTAGTCGGAAACAACTGGAAATCATCGCCGCAAAGACGGGTACGATAAAGGGAATATTACTCCTATACAAGTAGTGGATTTTAAATTTGGCCTACGGCGAAGGCTAGCTGACGATGACCTGTATGAAAGAGTGTACTTGTAAAATATGCGAAGGCAGAACGTCAGATGTGGATCATGTGGGTACATAACATTTAGCCGAAAAAAGTTTTATGAAAAACGACAAACCTTTGTTTTCTGTCGTACTCTTCCGCTTTTGCTGTGCCGATTGCCGAATACAAGTACTAAGAATAGAAAAATGCTATCACATATGATAATCATGCAGTATTTTGCTGATTACAATGGTATATTTTTTACAGGATTGAAAAAACGAGTAGCGCAAGTGTGGTATCAGAACACACGCGCCCGTGAACGGAAAGGTCAGCTGCATTTGCAGCAATTGAGCATCAGTAAGCGGTGTCCGGTTTGTCGCCGGCATTTCAAAGTGCGCAGTGCTCTGGAATCGCACATCTCCGTGAAGCACGCGGACGTTTACTGCAAAGGCGATGTCAATATTGATGAACTACCCGATACGGACTCAGAATCCAACGATGACCGCTCTGGCACGTCCAGTCCGGTGCCGCCGACATCGGCACGTCGGAGAAACATGGAGATGGCCGCCAGTTTGACCGGTCAGTCACCATCGACCTCAACGGCCTATCTGAATAATATGAACGAATCCATGGTGAAATATTATGGAGAAACTGTCAAGAAGTATCTGCAGAACAAACCGGAATTGGCGACAATGCCGTCGTCTTTACAGGTTTGTGACTAAAAAATGAAGAGATATTCTTTTAATCTGAAAACTGTTTACTTTGCTTTCATTGACTTCTTTGCAAATTATGTAATTGTGATCTTCCAGCTCATTTTATTGTTACGTTATTTGCATGATTAATTGTCCCGTAAGGGAATCCTTTCTGCATATGCATAAAACTTTTATTTTTATCTGTCCAGAGTAATGGTCTACAAGAGAATGTGAAACCATCTTCTGGCTTCGCTGGGGAATCCCCCCTGGACCTGTCTTCAGCCCAACCTAAAGCGCCATCCCACTATTTCCACCGCGAATCATCCGGCAGCGGGGGAGCAGGAGAAAGGGATTACGACAGCCACGCATCTTCACCCGAGCGCTCCCTCAGCTCCAGCGCGCATCACCAGCATGGCAAACCGGGCAAACGTTTCCGTACCCAGATGTCCAATGCCCAACTGAAAGTCATGAAACGTCTTTTCGCCGACTACAAAACCCCGACGATGGGTGAGTGCGATCTTGTCGGCCGGGAAATCGGTCTTCAGAAACGCGTGGTGCAAGTGTGGTTCCAAAATGCCCGGGCCAAAGAGAAAAAGAACAAAATGCCGGGAACACCGGACAATACACCGGTGCCAGATCGTTGCACACTGTGCAACGTGGTTTACACACCCAAACTGACCCTACAGGATCATTTATTTACCAAAGGTCATCTGGAAGTACTAAAGACAGTGGAGGAGTGCACCGATGGACCGGCAATCAGTACGCCGATGGTCAGCGCACCGCGAGACCGCGGCCAGCTTCCTTCCCGGAAGCATGTTGAGGTGGAGCGTAAAGCGGCAGAGTTTGAAGGAAAAAAGGCGGGACATGGAAAAGGTGAAGCATCGTCGACGGCCGGGCAGGGACAAGTTCCCGTGGCTGGATTCGGCGATCTGGGTGCACTGATGATGAGCGATCCCAGTATGGCTATGTATGCGGCCATGTATGCCTCAGCTATGAATCCTTATTACAATCCTGCTGCAGGAATTCCTGGAATGTTACCCTATGGAGGTTTGTTTGCAGTTTTCAATTTCAATTAACAAAAGAATTGGCGATATTGTTATATCATCCAGCTATACAGATATTGGTTTGCAAAAGATGCATTTTGTTAGGGGATATTAAAGTGTATGTGGAAACCATTAATTTGAGTTTTGCTACGTTTAGGTTTCGGGGCCTTTTACGACCCGAGTATCCAGGGTGTGCCATTGGGCGGACTGAGTCTGCCATCCGGTGTGCCAGAACTGATATTTGCCAAATTAAATGACCGTGCCTCGTCGTCAGGCGGAAATAGTGTGGCTTTTGGACAGGACGGCAAACGTTTAAGCGATCTCAAAGAGTGTATCTCCGCTCATGATTTTACGTGTGCCACATCGAAACAAAGTGATATTGGTACCGTGTGTCGCAAGTGCCAACTGGTATTTCCAACGGAAGATAACTGTACGGCGCACCAGGCTGCCTTGTGCTATCCCGGTACTAAAACAGCCAAGAATGTTCTCAAGCTGATGCAGGTACGGGAACAATAACAGTATACTAAAAACTTGTTGAGATTTGAGATGGCCATTTTTACATATTTAATATTGGCTTGTTAATATACTTGTTGAGATAACAATATACTTGTTATTTAATATACTTGTTGAGATTTGAGATTGCCATTTTTACATATTTTTACATATTTTGAGATTTGAGATTGCCATTTTTACATATTTGTTTTTCACTACCTTGTTTCTTAATTAGCCGTGATGTTTTTACAGATTTACTTCCACTGCATAGCTTGTCAGAAATCTTTCCCGACAGTTGCGGAATTCCGTAATCACTGCAATTCTTCCACGCATCACAAGAACCGGCAAGAGAAGTCGGGTCTTCCTATCAAGCGTCCTTCGTTATCAGCCAGTGAATCTGCTGACAGACTGGGTCATGTATAAATGTTGTTAATCGCTTCGATGTGGAGGATCTGATGTCGCTCCACTACCGTGCTTTGTGCGTCTGTCTCTCCTTAATCTCCTTGGTTTTTCCGTGACCGCTCTTTTTCTCTGTGAACCGCAATCTCTTAAACATAATCAGCACAACCAATCACGCGAATCTTCCTCCTGGCTTCCTTTTCCCCCATTTGTTTGAAGATGCTTTGTGGATGTGTGATGGGAGTCATTCTTGTGAGTTATTTCATGGTGGAGAGGAACGACGAGCAGCACTAGCATCTCTGTTCCTTTTTGAGTTTTTGTCTTGGTTTTGTTTTGTTATAAATTTTTTCTCCGTTACTTTATTCCTCCTTCTCGCGCAGCCAAATCGCAAGGCAATAATCTCACAGTTACGTGGCAGGTTTTTAGCTCATTTAATGGGCGCTTCTCCTGTATGTATATATAAAATGGAATTTCATTTTTTAATTATTGAATAAATTTTAGTTTACTTTGTCGCTTTGTTTATGCCTCGGTGTTTTATTTGTGTCTGTGTCCCAACTCCGGTCGTCTGCAGTGCCCTTATGTTAGCGGAAGCTACATAAATCCCCGTACGGATGGATGGAAATATAATCTTTTGGACAAATCTCGGTGCATGCATACTGTATATTTGGATACAATTATGAGTGGACAGTATGGATCTTGTTGGATTGGAGTTTTTGTTTGTTTTCCTGTCAGATCCGATTTTCTCTTCCTGATGTTAGATATCTCCTTTGGTTTTAGCAAAGCATTTATTTGCGCCATTTCCTTCTTACTAAAATTCCAGTAATGATGTTGAAAATGTATGAGCTGGTTTAATTAATTAAACAGATAGCCATTGCCAGTGGCTTGCCGGTTGATACTACCCAGTAGTTAATGACAACTTCTTCCTAGTGCAGTTAATAATCGATGGAACGTCTTGCTAAAGAAAAAATGTAAAAGGAGTCAGATGTAGGCATTTGAAACCATGGCTTACGATTTTATTTAGAGTCACTACGCTAGTGACGGAGTTGCTTCCACTTTAAAAATTTAAAGGTCACTGACTGCTGCAAAATACATATTGTACTTACGGGGCAGCTAGGAACACCAAATAAGTACCTGTGACTAACTGACAAGAAAAACGAAACCTGTGCGTTAACTGACCGGAAGCTGCTGTAGACGCGAAAATGTTGCAAGTTCGAATTGCCAGACCTAATCTCGTATTGATTGTAACTTCTAGGTAAGTACATTTAATTAATTATAATTAATTGTACTTACCTAGAAGTTACAATCAATACGAGTACAGTACATGTAGTGTCATGCACTGCACACTGAACACGCTGATCTCTCTTCCTCCTAAGTCTTACGTATAGTCAAATCAGTTCGTTATGCCGCTGCATTGTTTAGATGTACTGTACATAAAAGGATATGTACTATTTATATAGATATTATAGCAATTTTGTACAACACAAATATAAAAGTAATCTAATTCACAGGTAAAAGTAACCTAATTCACAAGTAATCTAATCTAAGACACTAATCTAATTCACTTTAAAAAATAAGGCTTATAAATGGCACGGAAATATAAATCTTTTATCGTAGTTAGTGTTACTAGAGTTGTGAAAACTGACAAGGCAATTTGGTAATTTTTGTACATACTTAAGGAAAATGACCCGGTCCATAGTGTCAGAAATTGGATACATGCACTAAAACTTTTTTCCGCCCTTCGAATCACTTTTTTGTAATATTTTATGTCATTCTAAAGCTAAATGAGTTGTATACGTACATTGTTCCGAAAACCGTTTGCGCGCAGAACATCCGATTACCGAGATATAGCGAACTAAAATGGGCGAAAAGTTTAATGCATTGTTGTGTACCAAAAGTCTGGTTATTTCCCGATCTTGTTGAAACTTTGCTGTAAAGGCACATGGCCATGAAGTCGAAAGTGAACCAGTTTCAGGTTCATACCACTTTCCCATAATTTTAACTTTTTTGAAATTAATTTTAAAATCGGAAAAAAATGCTATGAATCTCATATTGGGTTACAGAAAAATTTCAACAAGATCGGGTAATAACCATACTTTTGGTACGCAACAATGCCTTTAAACTTTTCGCCCATTTTAGTTCGCTGTATCTCGACAACCACATCTTGCGCGCGCAAACGGTTTTCAGAACAATGTGTACAAACAATTTAGCTTTAGAATGACATAAAGTGTTACGAAAAGTGATTCGTAGTGCGCGAAAGCGAACGTTTTAGTGTATGCATCCCATTTTTGACACTATATACCGGGCCGTTTTCCTTAAATGCTGATGTTTCGGTGTTGCACACCTGTGTATTATTGCACTCCTACTGTACAGTAATTCAGTAATTGTTGCTGTTGGAACGATCGTCCACGTTTTTACGGAATATATAGAAAATCAGCAATAATATACGCGTACTGTATGTGCGGTGTTACTTATACATAGGTACACACAATTTCTATTTTTTACGAATCACTGGAATATTTAATGAACTACGCGCTTTACATCTGTTACGGAATTTAATTTCCCGCGCGGTGAGGCCATGGCTTCTGTTGTCAGAACCAGAACCGGTTAGAAATTGAAGCTATTTCATACAAAAATTTTCGCTCGATCATTCGATATCAGCTTTCCCAGGACAGGTCACGCCCTGCGCCACCATCTCCGTCTGCATAATCATAATCAAAGGAAATAATCGCAACAAGCGCTCATCGGCAACAACACACACGTGGTTTACAGAAATTCTGTTTGCAAATTGAGCAACTAGCCTGTGCACTTTTTCTACCCCAGGGCTACCCATGAAGACGACGTAGAATGCCACTGTGCTGTTCTGATTTTTCCAAGGTGCAGTTATTAGGTACTAAAGCTTCACCGACGACGAACGTACTTATACATACAATCACAAGTGGAATGCGAATACCGGCAGCCAAATTTTAATGCCGAAAGAACTGAATTTCTACCCTTTATTTTGACCATTCTGCCACGCTTTGCCTACATGGCTTGCCGAAACATGTCAGGTTCCATTGATAAATACCGAAAGCACAGTACAGCTGTGCTAATGTGATCATATCGAGCCTGGGCCGTCCATTGAATTTCTGCCCCGATTCCCGTTGTTGATAATAAACCTTTCACACTGCCGTTTGTATGAATGAACTGTGATGTCATCGCTGGAGATGCCGCACATCCGTCCGCCACCACAGCAACAACAACGGGACTCGGTGATCACTACAGGGACCGAGGGTAAGAGCCGTAAATCCTACAGTATCGAGTTCAAAACCCAAGTCATCAATTTCTACCATGCTCACGCCGGCAATATCTCCCTGGCCGCCAAGATGTTCGGGGTGGATCGGAAGTTAGTGCGCAGTTGGGTGGAACAGGAGGATTTCTTCCGGGGCAATCTTAAGACAGAACCGAAAGCCGCGGCTGTACCCGTTATTACCCAGTCACCGGCCAAGCCCAACTCGGTCTCGGTTGTGGTCACGGCTCCGCCGGCCAGCGTCCGTGATACGCGCACCATATCCCCAAAATGCTCCCGCCAGCGACGGGCGTAAAATATCCCGAATTAGAAAAAGCCCTAAGTGAATGGTGGATGGCGCAGCACAGCCGTGGTGAACTGCGCGCCAAAGATGTCAAAGCTCAAGCGCTGCTGCTGTTCAGTCGACTGTACCCAAGCGCCCCTGAAGCCGAATTCAAAGCCTCCCCCGGTTGGCTGCAGCGTTTCACCAGTAAGATGGAGAGCCTGATTTTTGAGCGAGCGAAGATGCAGGCCAGTTTACCGATGATGCCAGCAGTTCGGCGCCCTGATTATGCGGACGAACAGCGAGCGCTCCGTTCCATCGACAAGACGACCGTCGTTACACGGGCGGCACCGTATACCGTTCCGGAGAAACTGAAGCCGCTGCTTCCCGCACCCGCTCCCTCGGTCATTGTGCAGCGAAGCACGGTCGAAACACCGGTTACGATGGTAGTCGATAGCGGTGCGACTGCCGGTGCTGATTATACATACATGTCGCCACAGGATCGCGAAATGGTGGAGCGAATGAACCAGGAAAGCAATCGGTTTTTCGATGATATCCGTGACTGGCTGGCCTATATCGAGTCGGTAACGGAAAGACTGGCGGCTGGCCTGGATTGATTACTTGTAAAATTTCTCCGTGTAGTCAGATTATTTTTTTTAATGTTTGTCCCCATAATTCTTGTAGATTACATTTTTTCTTATATAAAGCGTTTTTTTTCGTTGTTGCCAAAATTTATGATGTAATTGCTGCAAGAAACTTTTCTACCGGAAGGCAGAATGTAAACCAAGCCTGAAGGATAATAGCCTGATTTTATAATGTGCACGCTTTCTCGAATCATTATTAAGACCTTCGGGTATTCGTTTTGTATTCAATCGGAAAAATAAAAGGATCATAACATTTAGCCCAGTTCTAAGCAGAATATAAACAGACAGTATAATTGAAACAGTACAAGTCTGCGAAGTTTACGCAAAAAAGATCTGACGGCTGTAGAGCAATACAAATGCTTAAACAGAGCTCAATGAGAAAGCAACGCCCTTCAAGCAATTAAGTAACCACGATAGTGGAAGACAGATAAAATGAATAACAAAAACGGAGATAAAAATCTCATTGACCGACTGCTGTTCCATTTACCGGCGGTTCGGCTTCGTCGGCATTCCGTGCTGCGGCTTTGTAGCGCGATTCATACCACTGGACGTATTCCGTCAGATGTCCGTTCTGCAAATGGGACGCTTGCATCAGCAGATGGCGATAAATCAGACCGCGTAGGGCATGTAATGCCTGGGAATCGTAGTAGTATCGCATCGTCACCGGGTCCCGGTAGCGTGCCGGTTTGCCGGTGATTAAACATGTGCGCGGAGCCGGAGCATGCAGGGATTCGGTCGGGACGGGGAAGGCGCGATGGAAGTCATCTTCCGTGCGAAAACAGACGGCTGAGCGTGCATAACGTTCACCGGGCTTATTTCCGGTCAGAGATTCTGCCTCCAGCAATAAGGCTCTACAAATTCAGCATACCTATCTTATCAAACACATTCAACACGCTTTATTCAAAACGATTAACAGCATGAAAAGCACACACCAGGGCCTACAGGGGCCATTAAGCAGCAAGGCACCAAATTTCTGATCGTGAAGAACATCGGACAGTGTCCACTTACTGAATACTTTTATCGGAAATTTCTTCCACCCGCGGCAACTGAACAGTGGTGGAGATCGAGCAAATATCAAATGGACCACGGACAACTTTCTGTTTTTTCGCCTTTTTCTTTTCGTTTTCTTCTTCGTCTTTCTGGTATTTAGCTGAAACCAAAAGCGCAAAAGTAATGCCATGACAGACGATACCAGGGATGCCAAAAAGTCACAATTACCCAGATCTGCTCGATTTTTCTTTTCCGTTTCCACACATTTAGCCAATCTCTCCGCCTGAGTGGGGATGCGATATTTAGTCTTTTTCCTCGGGCCGATTTCCTGGCGTCGCAGTTCGCGTTGTAATTCCAATTCCTCAGCAGCGAATCGCTTGGCAGCGGTACTATCACGAATACTTCGTCCTGCAAAAACCCATTTGTCACAAACATACAGACAATGATAACAGCACGATCTGTTACTACTATATGATGAAAAGCAAAAACTTTAAACTTGAAAACAGGCCATGGCCTTCGTTTCGACTTGGAACAATTTATACGAAAGCCAACGCAGCCTGTTCTTTTGACAAAATCGACTACTTCGAAGTACCGTAGTTGGGTCTCCCTTGTAAGAGCCCTGCCAAAAACTATTCCTTGGAGTTCGAGCAAACAGAGGCTGAATTTTTAGCAAAACCCAATCGACCTGTAAAGCTGTAATTTTTTCTTTTCCTTGTGTAATTTAACGAGCGCAGTTTCTAAAACTGCACTCATTTAACCGGCGCAAAACAGGATGCGAGTAGTGACTAGTGACTACCCAGTTGACAGGCCGGAATACCACTAGAAGCGCAAAGTGAAGGCGGAAGATCTTGTAGTACAGTGGCAAACGACTACGGCTACAATGCACAGTTGAATGGCTTTTAGTCCAACGCTTCTGATCGTGAAATATTCAGCCTAAGTTTCAGCGGTACATATATTTGACGGCTGTAGTAGAAACTGCACACCAGTCAACCCACCTGATGGCATCACAGTGGGTTTCTTCCGTTTCTTGGCATCCGCCGGCGTACTCGGCCCCATACCATGACTGTCATCTTTATCACCGGAACTTGTGTCCTCCCCTTCGATTGGTGTTAGCGGCGCCTCCTCGTCCGACTCTTCATCCGATATCCGAGTATCTTCATCGTCGCGAGCTCCTCGACGCTTCTTAACTGGTGGTGCTGTTTTCTCAACTACAGCCTTGCGTTTCGCTCTCAACCAGGGCTTTTTGGCCGGTCTCCTGCGCTTCTTGGCGTCTTCATCTTCTTCCTGGCCCTCTTGGATGTCATCTTCCAAGTCTTCCTCTTCTTCATCGAAATCCACATCTGAACCATTATCGGACAGGGCTTCCAGACCGAAATCTTCGTCGTCTGATTTCTGTTCGACAAATTAAGTTACTGCGTTGCATGATTAATTCATGGCCTCCGTACGAAGCTCTCTTTACGCGCTTAAAAAAGGCGTGCCATGAAGTGACTAATGGACGCGTGGCGTCTTACCTCGTCGAAACCTTCGTATAACGTCTTGTAAACTTCATCCTCGTGGAAATCCTTGATCAGACCAGGCATCAATGCACCAGCATTGATGCGTTTCGCTCGACTCGCAGCCATCCTTCTACTAGCTTACAGAAATCTACGCAAACGAATGATACGAATCTTACAAAAACCAATCTAGAACGCAACCGCTGATCTTCTTGAAATGAAATCCTCCGACTTTGTCAAATAACCAATGTTTAGTTTGCTTTTTGTAGACTAAATTACTTCGGTAACTTCAACATAATTAAGAACAAAAATTAAAGGAGCAAACAGTTCGCTGCAGACTGTTCAAAAATATGAAGAACTGCTACACAGTGTACTCATATCTTCTGGTTTGTGCACAACGGCATGTTCACCTTGCAACCTACCAGGGAGGCAGCTTTTAACCAAATCCTGGAATGTTTTATGGGAGATTATTTTTTAAAAAATCAAAATAATGACTATCGAAGAAAGATAATTTTTTAACTATTTTCAATATACTCAGTGATTTGCTTGGTGAAAAGCTGAGAATAGTTTTGGTTAGCTTTGTAATATTTCTCTGATTTGTGTGAAGGTCGAAATTCTCGAATATTGCACGAGAGCTCATCCGATATGCTTTGATCTTTTGAATTCTTTTCCAGTTTTCAGTCGCACCAGGAATTCGAGAATTTATAATAAAAACGATACCCGGAATGTCCCAAGCTGTTGAAAATGCCAGGAGAAAATTTCGACAGTTTCCTGTGGCATTTGGGAAGTGCACGGAACATTCAGTGCTTTATGCCAGATGCATTGGAGCGGCAGACCATCCCAAAAGGATCAGTGCAAAAAAGAGTTTGACATCTTGAAGAAATGTTTTACTGAAGCATTAAAAACTTCGCTCATTCGGTGATATTAGTAGCGCTCCGAGAGCGCAGGAGCAGCTGGATGACGTGCGAGCATGGGTGTTTAAAATTAAAATGTAACCGACTTTGTATTCACTGTTGTTGTGGTAAATAAAGTGCAACTTGTGTCAGCAAGAACCACGAAAGCCTGAAGTATCTGCCGTAATTTGCTCTTATTTTTTATTTGGCTTTATGATGCACATTTTACGACCTCTTTGAAACTTTCGGTGCCTCGCGGTTAAAAATGATTAATAAAATCATAATTAATTAATAAAAAAGAAAACAAACACAACATCAATCTTCTCCAACAGGTAGTGCGTCTTCCAGGCGCTTAGTAAAATGCACTTTCAACTCGGTGGCTGATTCGCCCAGCAGAAACTCGCGTACGATGCTGACTTTCACATCAATTTGCACCATTTCTAAAGCTCCTCGAACTGCACCACAGAGAACACGAGAATATTCCAAGTTCCGACAGCTATCCGGAAATTCAACGAAATCTCCAATAGGACTAGTTTGTTCCCAAATCAGCGAGAACTCGTTTGCCGATGGAGACCAGTTTCCCACAAATGGTTGCACACCTAAATAAATTATTTAAACCATTATTATTTTAATAAACGAAACACTCGATAGCGGAATAAATTTCTAACTGCGACATGAGACCGCGAGGAGATGAGAATTTGTCAAAATTGGCATGCTATCAAAGGATCTGTAAATTCTTAATTAGTCTTACACTCTTACCCATGTAAAAACGGAATGCCTGTTGCACGCGCTCAGCAGTTTGGCGAAAATCCAAGCAACGAGGAATGTTGTGATGAGCAAGGAAATCTTCAATTAAACGCACTCCAATGTTATACCCAAGTTTGTCCAGCTGCTTGTTGACTTCTTCTGGCCGTTCGTAATCCTTAATAATTTGTGCAACCAAAGCACCGTATGTTAACTTGATGAGATCCGCATTGACTTTATTGTTATCGAAAAGTGCTGCTTTCCCTTTCGCCGCCATTTTTAAAACTTAAACATCCCTTATAAAAGCATCCGATATGACAGCAACAACAATTTATTCTTAAAAACTTAAAAGGAAAAATTCCAGAAATGAAAAACACAAGAAAAAAGCTGCATCTGTGCAGTGTGCACTATTTTCGTGTGCTTTGATGATGTTTTGGGTGACCACGCACGGTGACGCACCTCCTTACAAAGTGCAGTTACAAATAGCCAGCAAAAGGTCTTTAATTTTTACTTTGTACCGTACAGTACAGTACTTACTTTTATCAGTACGTTACAATTAATTAAACGTCTAACAGATGCGCATCTGTCTAACGATACCAGTGCATTACAAAATTAACTGTTTTTAATAATCTCTTGTTATCAGTAAACCAGACGCATTATATTGTATCAATGCGCTATAATAATGTCAAATTGTTATTTTAAACTCTTCCCTAGTGGCAGTGAACAGCGACCACTACCAGTAGCAGTAAAATTTCTCTGAAAATAACTTTACTTACTTACGGTCAGTATTGACTTTTGTTGATCGAATACAAAGACAAGCTTACAATTCACAAAAGAAACATCACATCGTAATATTATTAACAAACAGCAGGAAGATGCGGCCGGATTACAGAGAACATTTGATCTAAATTAGCCGAGGTCGGTGCCGTTCCCAGGATGGATGCCGCGTTTCCACGTTGAACTTCGATGCTGAACCTCTGGCGCAAAAACTCCGTTGCACGTTTCTCGCCTGTTTCCTGCCATAATAATCATCTTGCCCTTACTGTTAGTATTACTTACGTATATTCGTACTCGTACACTGAACATGTATTTGGTGGGGCATTTTTGAATTATCAGTTAGCGCAATTCTAAACAATTGCAATATATGTCACAACTAATTGTTAATGATCTATTTTCATATATTGTTTTTTTTTTAATTTTAATGTATATAGATATTGTATACATACTGTACTGTGCACTCATTGCCTGAGGGCCCTGAGCAATACTTAAGTACTCCATAGCCAATTAGAATGACAACACAATACTTACCTTACACCTACTGGCAAATTAATGAGCAAGCTGTATCTGATTGTGAGGTGAGCTCAAAGTGCGCAATAATATAATAATAATCATATTTTTATTATAACTGTACTCGTACCATATGTACGAGTACCATATGTGCTAGTGGTACGCCGATATCGGCATGCGAGCCTACAATCGAACAGAAGTATCGATATTGGTAGGGTAGCTGAAAAACGTGACTGCACAATAAACATACGGCGTACTGCCCAGTGGCTATTTTCCATTGTGTTGTGTGACGGTGTGTCGGAGGTTTAATATGCAATGTTTCGCTTCATGTGCACAGTAAAGAATTTGTCGAAGACTGTTAATTGTGCTTATCACTTGTTTTTAACAAAGGCAGACAGTCATAGCCTGTAATTAAGTGGTAGTGCAAAATGAGACAACTCAAATTAATTACCAGTTCATTAACTTGAACATATACGCAAAGCTAGAGTTATTTGTTCCCGTTCGCTCGTTGTCTTGAGCTATGCCTCCATCCTTGAGACTATGTATTATTGCTGACAAAAGTAATGCAAGCACTTGCGAAGTCATTTTCTGCTTCAGTAGAACGCTGTACCATACTGCTTGCTGTAATTTTTTAATTTCTGTCGTAATAGCGAAAATTGTCATTCGGCAGGCTGTTCATGAAAGTTTGTAACGTTTGTTCTTCTATAATTATCATAAGTATTAGATTACGGCTGTACAAGAAGCTACCTTTAAGCAGACCACCAAGCTTAATTAAATTAAAAGATAAACTATATTGTTATGAATTAACTTGGATCTTTTATACAACAGTTTTATTGCCTATTAAAAAAAATTTACAACGAATTGGATGTTCCTTCAACTTCCTACTCTACCTTCTATACATTTGCCGTAACTATTTAAAATTACATGTTTGAAATTAATGGAACATTAGAACGGAATTTAGAACAAAACTATAGAGGGAGCGACTAAACTAACCAAAATCTAACGCTTGTTCTCGCGAGAAGATCTATTAATGTATCGAGACCGAATGCTGATAATCTTGTCATAACCTTAAGTACTCGCTTAGCTAGTAACTCCTGTGTTATTAATGGTAAGTTGTACAGAGTATGTCATGCTTTCGTTGCGCGTTTGATATAACGACTACGAGTACTTTAGTGATTAATCAGTGGAATTAATCACTGCCCTACAAAGAACGCGATCGGAAATGAACTTCGGGAGCTATCGAATTCAAGGACAATTATAATACAAAAGGTGTCCGTAGTTGAACTGCACACGCATACGATAGGGTAGGGCGTATATGTAATGCCCATTGTCCAGTATGGGCAGTCGTATCGCATGTATGTATTGAACGATGAATTATGTATAAATCTAAATTCGTGGATTCTGTACGTTTGTGGTTAATATTATTTCGGCTGCCTCTTAGTCTATTGCACGTAATCCTGAAATTATTAGGAGCAATAGAAAGAAAAAAATGCATAAAAAAAGAAAAAAATGAATAAAAAAATGCATAAAAGAAAACAATGCATAATTAATCTCGGTTTTTAGTTAATAAATTATGTCGGCCGTGTTCTGCGTATTATAAAGCGAGTCGGAGCGATGCCATACATTTGTAAAGATCTGTTTATACTGCATCCACAGCATCTCTAGACTATGAAGTACCGAATAAAAGCAACATCTACACACGATTACGTCAGTTTCACAGAATAATAATGCTGTCTAGCCGTAAACAGCAATTAAGTAAATACTATAAATCACGCTCACAGACAGAACGGAACCAATTCCGGGTACGAGCAGAAGAAGCTCACTCACAGAAGTTAGTAACGAACGAAAATGGGTCAGAAATCAAAGTAATGTGACAGGGATTCAGTAACTGTATTGACTGTGCATAAACCGTCTTAAAAAACGCCTCTAACCTTGAATTTATTTAGTATATCAGAATACCGTTTGTATGGCCAAAGAATAAAATAAAACTTTAAATGACCGGAACCGAGTTCTTCTTTTAGATCAACTGAGATGCTGACTCACTGTCTCTTAAAACAAAAATGCGGAACTTAAAACCAGACGTTTCTCTAACATTTGCTGAATAAATTTAAACTGTACCGTCAAACTCTACAGACTGTACCTTCGGAAACTCACGGCGATGCAACCAAAAACATCGCGTCTTATTTATCATCATTAACACCGACGTAATTCAAACTACGAGTACAGATACGACATAATTATGTGTATCTAGACCATGCGTACTGACGGTACTGTAGTTAAAACTTCAACGTATTTTGCGTACGGAATCTTCAAACTTGCATGCGAATATAGGCGATACGGGAGTTTTTTTACGAAAATGTGTTGTCCAGTTCAAAATTCGACGAGCAATTTTTTCAGATGCGGCATACTGGACGACACCAACATGTTTTGCTGTAACTTAACAAGAGTCACACTTGTGACTCTTGTACAGTGTGTTTTTATTACGACGCTTTAAGTGCTTTACTAAACACTGGCAGTTTTAATCCAAGTTATACTCAAAGACATAAACCAATTAAATAATTATAAAACTGAACTACAGTCTGCCAAAAATTATCGTACACGATAACAGATTTTCTATATGTGTACTATTATATTTTATAAATTAGTAATATTTATGCCCAGTCGATCGGATATTCGCTGTAAGCCAATTTGAATCATTTGAATAAGTTATATTTTTATGGTGATTATAAAAATTGAGTTGTGTCGGCGGCGTAATCATATCAAAGTCCGACTAAAGCATGTCGACTGTATTTGACTTAAACAGCTTACTTATAACTGGAAAATATATAGTATTCGAGAAATATTTATTGTTTAATACTCGTACGTACGTTACGTACGTAGGTTAACATTTTTTTGTGTCTTACAACTTCAGTTTTTAATTTGGATAAGCCATTGCAGGTTTCGAATAAAAGTTAAACTTCTGCAACAATTACATATATTATAAATTGCCACGAACAGCCAAAGATTATATTATTAAGCCAGTATTAAGCCATCATTCTTTTCATTCAAAGATTCTTCCGTCTAGCTCAGGTCAAGGAAAAAATGGTGAAATTTGGCAGAGTGCAGGTGCATTGTCCTTTCACCTGCAGTACATTGTCTTGCAGCAAGCAACCAGGTATACGAGACCTGTTTAGACCTGTTTTGACCTGTTTTGATGTGGAACGACACATAAGACATTACCTAATTTCTAAATTAAAAATATTGTTGTTGTTTCAAACAGGAAAGATCTCCGGCCGCAGGCCTGATTGAATTAATAAACAAATATTCATTCCACCGAAGATACAGCACAATCGCAGCATGCGCCGTAAATGTTGATTAAAGTTTCATGGCAGAAAATGTCCAAATCGTTTCAAATCGTAAATTTACTGCTCGCACGTGTTTCTTTGTCTTTGTAATGTGTCAGTGGCTTCGTAAAGAAAAACTATTAATGAGCCATTTTCACTGACAGTACTAATAGTGAAATCTTCTGATAGGTTGACCAACCTTGACCGTGGTTAAGGTGTTTTGACTCTGGTACACGACCCACCCATCGCCGGCCGCCATTGGCCGATCCACCGGCTGGCTGCTGTATCAAAGGTCGTCCGTCATCATTTGTTGCAAAGATTACGGTATTTGCGTTTGAACAACCACCTGTGTATTGGCTCAAACGAGACGACTTCAAAGCAATTCAATAGGATCCTGATGATCTTGTCGTGTAAATCTTTATCACAAAAATCTTCGAACCGCATGATTTTTGTATCCTTTTAATGCATGTAATTGTTCGTGTTTGTGCACCGTCTGATCACACTAGCGCCGCAATGTTTTGAGTATCGTTTTTGCGAACCTTCTTGGGGACCCAAATCCAATTCGTCATGGACACTACGAAATCGTCAGTTGACTATTCCACTCCTCTTACATTTGGATTCGATGGACCTTCCGACAATGAAGTGTCCACGATGGTCGATCAGTATCTTGGGAACAAGGTTTGTGACACTCTGTAAAGGTCATCGTGCTTTTGTTAAGATCCCCTGTTCCCCACCGGAAAACTGTGCATTTGGCTGGTGAGAACGTCAGTCTTACTTACATGCACTGCGAGAGCATTCTGTTGAAATTCTTCAAGTTGATTGACCCGCAAAGAGTTCATTACTCGGTTCGTTGCATCACAGAGTGATGACTTTATTACACGGGTGCCAGAAGAAGACTGTCGAGTCTTCCGTTGCGGGTTGCTAATCGTAGCTGTTCCTGCTCGCAATTCGGCTAAATACAGGTAGATCATAATCATTCGTAAACTGCTACGGAATGATGAATCAGTTATGAGATAGTTTTGACTCAACGTTCCAGTGATTCCATTACCGTTTTTAATGCTCCGATCTCGCTAACTACCTGCAAGTTATAATGTTTAATTTTTTGACAGCTGTTCCGGTTGTTCAGTTTTTGATGATATACGGCTGATACATTTGGCCTAGAAAAAGTCAGTTTCAGGATTTAATAATGCTTCCGAACTTGAACTCATAATTCGCCGCGGGGCTTTCATGGAGTTCAAATTGCAGTCTCAGTTTCGTTTGGTTTTCAATCTCTCTACCGTGTAATAGTAATCATAATGTGTTTACAACTGATCCATTTAACACTGTGCAGAATGCAGTTGTTCTCACGGATGCGTTGAATTGCAAAAAAAGCGAACTGTTCCAATCTAACAAAACTGTAGTTTGGTCGAATATTCGGCTGATGAGTTTTCGGCTTGATTTTTGAGCTAATAAATAGTAACTCTTTTATCGAAAACCTGCGGTACCAATTGTGCAATTTGAATTTTCCAATTTTAATGATGCTTACATAATTATCTTTGGCCAGCACCCAAAAATTTAGCGATTGTGGTATCAGCTGTACAGGTGATTTCTTCGAAACGGCAAGATTAAACTCTGTTTTATCACATCGGTGAACGGAGTTTTTCCGGTCGAAGCTTCATAAGACAGAAGGTCTGTAATTTGGGATTTATTTTATAAATTCACAAGTCATGAAGTGTGAAACCGGCAGTGAACTGAGAAGAGTACGATGAACTTACCTCGGGGGCAAGTCGAGCAACTCGTGTGGAACTGTTGAGGACGTTGTACTTTTCCGTTTTGTCTGATGACGTAGAGAAAAACCGAGGTTTTGTTTTCACAAATGAGAGAAAGTTGTGCCATATGTAAGCAAGCCGATGCGTAGGAGAAATTTTCTAAGCTCGTTTAACTCCGTTAACCCTAGTAATACAGTTTCGATGAATTAATGTTAATAAATGTCGATCTGCATAGGGTAGAAGCTGAACGAAATTGCATGTTTTACACACGTACAAGACTGACAGGACAGGTTACAATGTTACATAGTTAATAATGTTTGTTAAATTTTGTTACTTTTGGTTTCGAAATCATGCTACAGTTTTAATTTGGGAGTAGTCCATTTAATAAAAACTTTTTTTCCAGTAAGGTATGTAACGAGAACGAGTGATTTGGCCTGGGACTAGTTAGCATTATAAGCAGTACGTGCTGCTGTTGACGCATAATGATAAGAAGTTCAGTCAATGAGATTTCAGCTAGCTCAACATAGACATATGGTTGTCCACCAATTACTAAAGCAAAATGATACGTCTTGAACTCATGCACAATCTATGATTTGCTCAAGAATTAACCGATCTAATTGATTTTCAATTGAACAACAGGTGGTCATCGGTGTCGCAGCTAAAATTTAGACCTGTTGCCTTCTTAAATGCCCATTTGTTACAGCTGATTAACTTTTACTGATCGCGACGCGGCGCTGCTGCTGTCTCTTCATAATTTTCCTCATGCCGGTATGTTGTAAGTCATCATAGCCTACCTCTCTGTTCTCTTTTGACAACTTTTGTCTGCATTTTATAAACTCTTTTCTCCAAAGGCGAAAGAGAGCAGGAAATTTAGTCTAAAATTGTAAAAGAATGGAGCCAGCCTCCAAAATTATTCGAGTTCCTTTATTCATTTGTAGTCGCCTTGGCGCTGCTCTAAAGACAGCAGCGAGCTGCTTTAACTTTTAATTTTCGTGATGGGGCCAATTAAGACGATTTCGAGAGCAATTATTTCACAGCCACTGGTGTGAAAATCGTGAGATAAGCCATGCCGTATTGTCGCATAAGCGCTATTTGTAGAGTTCTTGTCGTAAAAGGATTACTATGGTCCAACAAAGGTGACCTTTATCTCAGCTTAAAACGTCTCGCTAAAACTTAACATTGTTTCCCCAAGATAATAATAATTTTAACAAAACAGAAATCTTATGTGATTTTTTAATTTTTACTTGTTGTTTTCAGTCAGTTTTAGCCTGTAGGAACGTTCCTATCTGTAGTGTAATCAGACCGATACGACAATTATAATTTCATGCATGCGTCATTTGACGCTCTTTTTGTTTAAACAGTTAAGCTTATCAGGCTAACCCCAAAACCGCCCATTGGAGACTCAAGTTACAATTCTACCTATCACGTAATATACATACTTATCTTCCAATCAGCAATTGTGATAAGGTTGCCTCAACAATCATAACAGGAAACAAGACAAACATAGGTTTGTGGTTGTGTGTATCATGGTCACATGATGTTAACGAACAAAAAAGCAAACGTGGGTGTAAAATCATGTGGCACACCTGTATTGCACTACACACAACGTAAACCGGCAGCGTTTTATTAGCAGCAGACGTTCAGTTCATTTACGCTTTCGTAATACAAAGGACATTGGGCGGCGTGCGAACGCTAATCAAAATAATAAAAGTACTGTAATAACTGTAGAAGCGTTGATCGGAAATGCCAGCAGAGTACGAGTATAGAAAGTGAAACTTGCAAACATGCAGTTTCTTCCAGTTCTCAAGTGTTAGATAACTTGAAATGTATTTTCACGCTTAACGGTTAACATTCATAAAACGCAACCCATTAATATTATTTGCAGGGCTCTTTTTCCTTGGATGATGATTGGGCAGTCGTGGATAATGCTTTATTCATGATTTCTAACCCCGATTTCCAGGTACGCTAAAACAGAATAAAATAATATAATATAATATTGTTTACTAATATTTTTTGACTGCTGTAGTACTTACTTAAATGGAAATAATACAGCATGCATCGTTTTAACAGTGATGTACTTGCAGTACACATCTTACAGTTAATGACATACGGAACGCTTTTGAATCTTGTACTTGTAGTCTTTAATCGTTCGCAAATGAAATTTGGTAGCAATTACAGTTATGTATCTTTCTATTTACATTTTATAGTTTGCGGTTTTCCGCTCGATTCGTAATGCGGCATTTGTGCGAATCACTACTCGAAGTATGCCTTGTTTACAACAAAAATTAAATTCCACTTTTTGCCCTTAGGCTAAGATACTGGCAATCATGTCAAATATAATATGTCTTCCTCATTGCATTTCATAATCATGCAGATTGAAACATTGGTTTTTTCTTGTGCCATAGATGTCAATGCCCGGCACGATGACCGGTAGTAGCATGGAGAATAACTGTCACGGAATGCAACAGCAACAGCCGCCGTACAGTGGACCAGATAGTGCAAACATTCTCTCACAACTTCCGGTGGACACACAACAACGCAGCGCTAGCCAGCAACCGATATCCAATGCCAATGGCTACGATTATGTTGATCCTTCACAACAGTATTATACCGCTAACCCACAGATGCAATACATGGATCATCAGCATTTTCCCGTTGAACATTTTCAAATGTCAGCACAAAATCCCATGCAGAATATGAATTATTATAACCCATCGAATAATGTTCCTGATCCGTTTACTCATAACTCTCCCATGTACTATGTGGCTCAAAGTGTACAGAATATTCCTGGTCCAGAGCAGCAGCCGAGCGGCGGAAATCATTTGGTATTTAATTACGAAAATTATGCATCATTACCTGGCGCAGCATCGGCACGTCCTAATGTCGGCAACAATATGGCCCATGTGCCACCGTCGCGCAATCGTGCCAGTTCATCGGGAGGAAATTCTCCCAGTTCGCAGTCGCCAGTTAGTGAGGAGGAGTTCTCGGAACCAGCACCGGTAAGCAATTGCAAAAGTTAAAATCAAAGCCTTAGAATTTTTTTTAAAAATTAGGTTGGATGTTATTTCTAACGACTTTCTGTGAAAATTTCCACTTGCTACTGGAAAGGATTTTTGTGGCTGCCTGAATATATTTTTCTGATTTTTTATTAAAGATCAGTATATGAACTGAGGCTATAACTTTGTTATTTTTGTTAGCCGTACAGGCACGAAATTTTTATCTGTTTTTAGAAACCCTTGTCAAGGCGTCAATCCAAAGACACGGTAACTGCGAAAAAATCAAAACCTTCGAAGCCCAGACGCCGGAAGCGAGATCCCAATGAACCCACAAAGTAAGAAAACGTTTGCGTTCGCTTAAACACTTCTTACGTAGCACTACTATTTTCGCACAGTTTAGCGTATCATGTAAATGTAAAGGTCATACTCTGCAGACGCTCGTAATTCCATCGCCTGTCTGCATGTAAACTATAATTATCTGAATAGGTAAATCTTGTTATTGTTGTCGTACGATAATTTTACAATAATCATTTTTGCAGACCGGTATCTGCGTACGCCTTATTTTTCCGCGATAAACAAGCAACAATTAAAGGCTCCAAACCGGATGCTAGTTTTGGCGAAGTATCCAAGATTGTTGCTAGCTTATGGGACAGTTTGGACCCAGAAAAGAAATCGGTATGCACAGAGATGAGCAGCGTATCTGAATCTACAGATAATTTCTAATCTACGTCAAGCTTTAACATGATATTATTTGCTTAAAGGTCTATGGTTTAGTGATTTGATGAGTGATTTGATGAATATATAACATTACTTATCATGAGTTTTTGCAAATCATTGTTTAGATGTACAAGAAGCGGACGGAAGAGGCAAAGAAGGATTATTTGCAGCAGTTAGCCATTTATCGAGCATCTTTAATATCCTCCCCATCAGATACACCTTTATATATTCAGACCAATTATCCATCCCGAAGTTCGCCAATTCAGCTAGCATATATGGACTCTCGTCAAATGTATGGCAGCGGCAATAATTTAAATACGCCTTACCATGTAAAGTCACACCCAACACAGACAAATGAAAATCCTGAATGGAATCAACTACGACCTCTAAACAACGAGGTACGATAACTGACGATATTAATAATTATTTAATTACTTACTGAATTAGCACCAGTGTTACAGTGTATCAATTTTATTGCCTTTCTGACTTTCTCTAGTTGACAGTAATGCATGCAGTCGTTTTTCTCTAGTTGATAATAATGCATGCAATAGTTTATTTTGCAAAAGCCGGAAGCGGCATCAGATATGCTTTTGCTGTGGATCGATTTAATCCTGTTGCATTTACAGCTATGTTCCAAGCATATAACATTGTTTTCTTAATTAAATAGAATGGTCAAATTTATGGGCGTGTGTCGGACACTGAACTGATACACAAAAACGGCAACTATATTAGCCAGATGGCAACAGTTTGGGATCCTTCTATCATGGCGGATGACAACGGCATCGTAGCAATGCACTGCAAGTAAGTAAAACTTAAAACACTTAATTTGTGACACAAATTAATCCGGTTATTTTTGCCGTAACCGTACCGTACCCGTAGGAGCCGTAAGCGAAACCGTACGTAGCCGTACAAAACTTTAGTACTGTTTTCGGTCTCTAATTTGTGTTTTACAAAAAATTCTTGTCACACTACAAGTCCGTAGTATTTTATTCATTTCCTTTTTCAGGGATGGCATCTACCAGAATGATTGGGCTGGCCACCAGCAATCACCTAACAATAACCACACCAAGGTGGTAATATGAGGGTCGCTCAATGAATCACAAAATGCGACAAAATACCGGTTATCAGAGTCAAATACTTTCTTTGTACAAAACTAATATCTTTACTAGACGCAAATATAAAATTGTACAGTGCAGTAATAACTTTTGTGAGTACAAAAATATACAAAATGTTCACGTTGATTAATTTCTAGTTTTTCGTTATTTCACAATCGTTTTGTTTTTTACGATGGATCCTTTGTTGCCGCGTCGTTGTTGTTTTTATTCTTCTTTTTTCGTATCCGTGGGAATTTTTGCATATGAAACAATGTTAAACAGTATCGCTAAATTCACGAGCATAAAGGCCAAACTAGCTGCCCAAACCAGCAAGACAATATCGCGCTGCTGAAACTCCAGGAGATATGCCGATCCCAACCAAAAAAGCCATTGAAGAAAACCACGCCGATATCAGGTAGAGGATACGTTGTCGAGGGAGATTGATTCGCGGAATGGCCAGGGGCAGGAATGTGAGATACCACATAAAATACTGCAAACCCAACAAACTTTCGTATAACATAAATTAAACAAAAATCTGTAGGGCAATTCCTTAACACAAAATTAAAAATGCCGATCGAAACATTACAGGCGCCTTATGAATGCCTAAATTAAGAGGTATATACGGATCTCGAGAAATACTTCCATCACGTGATCATGTGACGACCGAGATTGTCTTTAGCTCACCTGAACAGTGCACACTTTATTCAGAATCACGAACACCGCCGTATTAACGAAGCAAACAAATGGCAGATCTCGGAAAAACCGAAACGAAAAATACACCCAGAGAATCGCTTGAGGAATAAAAGGAATTAAGTTAACGATCGGTTGGTTTCCTTTGGTTAAGCGCATGATGTAGAAATATGGTGAGAAATTATGCTGGATATCGCGGCGAGTCAAATGGTACAGGTAAGTTTCTTGTAGAAATTCCTGCCCGTAAACCAAGTAGAAAAACCCTGTCAGGGCAACAAATGCCACAACCGCTCCTGTTACAAACTGGACCTCTCTCGAGTTGGCCAAAATAAATCCATGACTCCATTCCGATTGTTCGAATTACTGCTGCACCAAAAGTACAGTGGCATTGCATAACAGACCGGATAAATCTTGAAGTGCACAGACAATCCGAAAATCACGCCGGACAGGAGAAACTGCAGTTTTTCGTGATAGTATAACGTCAAGAGGCATAACACGCTCATCACAGATTCCGCGTTTCCACGGGTGGATACATTAATCTCGACAGGATTGTACAAGGCCAGAAACATGCAGAGTTTCATCATGTCCCGGTCGAGCGGGATCTTCTGAAGGAGTTTATACGTGAGGTAAGCCGCAAGAATGTCCAGTCCGGCAAAGAGGACTTTCCCGAAGGACGGATGTATCCACATGTTAGGCAGCAGCATGTACGACAGGAGAGGTGTATACCGGTATCCATCCCGATTGTAAGGTGATTTTCCCTGTGCAAAACAACAATGCAACTGCGGTGTACAGTGTACAGTAGCAAACATACGTAAATGTGCTGGGAAATATTCAAGAACAATATAGTGAATAAATGTAGTGCGAGTACTGAAGTAAACGACATAACAAAAGCAAAGACACAACAAACTGGGCACGGTAAATAAACAACCATTTACGCAAGATGCTACTAGTAATTTGGCATCGCAACTCGCTACTATCCGCAGTCGCTATGGATAACAAACCACAAACTCAAAGATTTTCTAATTAATAACAATAATAATAATACCATAAATTCTGTACGCGCTTGAACTTTATTCCTGTGGGACTGTGGGTACTGGGTGTACGAAAGGTTAAACTTTACAGTTTTGTTCCAAAACAAAGCTCGTGTAAACCATGATTTAGCAATTTCGCAATGTATGCACACAAGGCCTTACTCTATAGTCTAGACTTTAGACAGGGCGGTATAACCACAATAATTCATAACTATGAGGAAACGTTTTTTAAACAATAACTATAAAGTTATTCAGCGAATCAGAACAAACTGAAATATAACCAAACAAGCTGCACAAAGGCCTGCTGCGAAGAGTGCGAACTGCGAGATTCAAACTTGTGTTACTTCGTTAACAGTTATGATACTTATATAGCAGGACCTGGATTTACTTAACTTGTGATTAGTTATAACTTATCGTCACAAAGTATGGCTTACCAAGCTAACCCACTCCGCAGCATCCGAAAACACACGATAATCAATATCCGTGTAATTTAAATCGAAATGTTGATCATGAAATTCTCCATAGATCACCAGGACCATACGAACCAGAAAAGCAATGGCAAAATGGTCGTAGAGGAAACTAAACTTGGTGTTAAATTTTTCAAACTCCGTAGGCATGGAGTACTTTGGCGCTGTCGCAGCCATCTCCATCTCTTGTCCAGTTGTAAAGAAAAGCTCTCGACACTCGACAGTGTGTACTGTCAGGGGAAAATGATACTCTAACACATATTGATATTACCAAGAATTCACTGCCAAGGTTTTTTTTTCACGGGCAACCTACAAATACGGGTACGCCGTGTAAGCAAGCATAGTAAATTAAAGAACAACGGAAATCCAAAACAAAAGTCAGAATTTACGGATTTTTTCAAACCGAAATGTGGTGGCGTGCCGGGCAGCCGGTGACAAACCTCCGGGGGTGTAAATCATAAATCATATGGAGTAAGCCAGTAAGGATAAATTAATAAACAGCAACTGGACACGCTACGGCGGCTACGCCATACATCTCCAGTTTTTTAACTTCGTGACTTCGCTGCAAGCCTGCAAGTTGGTGTTTTTAGCCTGTTTTATGAATTGTTTCTGAGTTTCTCACTAACAAGTAAAGTATTCTTTTATTTTATAGATTGTTTTACAACTTTTAACTTTTTTGTTCGAGAGTGGTATCATTCAGGAAAATTAATCGTTTAAAGTGCGCTCACTGTATGCTGAAGTACTCTGTATATGTAGAGAGGCTCAGAGGCACCTTCTGAATTACTCTGTTGTTTTAGCACCCCTAAAAGCTTAAATGGCGGGAAGTTCGCCAAATGGAGTCGTCCTTGCTACTGGGGGTTATGACCACACGATCCGTTTTTGGCATGCACACTCTGGAATCTGCTGTCGCACCGTGCAGCATCCGGACTCGCAGGTAAACGCACTGGCGCTGAGTTCCAGCAAAGATCTCTTGGCAGCAGCCGGATACCAGCACGTCAGATTATACGAAGTGAATTCCCCCAACACGCAACATGATCATTCCTACGAAGGCGTAAGCAAAAACGTGATTGCTGTCGGTTTCCAGTCGGATGGTCGATGGCTGTACAGTGCGGGAGAAGATGGAACAGCCAGAGTATGGGATCTGCGGACGAATAGCACCAGCTGCCAAAAACTCAACCAAGCCAATTGTCCCCTCAGTGCCGCTTGCTTGCACCCGAACCAGACCAACCTGCTTTTCTCCGACCAAAATGGAACGATATTCATATGGGATTTGAGGGCGGACAAGACGCAGAAACTCTATCCGGAAAAAGGCACCAATGTGGTGGCTCTCGATGTGGATCCGGAAGGCGTTTACTTGGCCTGTGTGACATCCAAAGGTACGTTGTACAGATACTTCTACGAGTTCTTTATTGTTGCAGTAGTGTCATTTTTATTTTATTATTTGTTAATTACAGTACGTGAATTTTATAGCGAATAGATTTGCAAGTGTGCTAGTAAAATCTCTTTTTAATAAAAGCAGCGAATAATTGTGCGATAATTGCGATTAGACATCGAGTTAGAATATTGCTGTGATATCGTCTCCCCGACGTGACGATTAAAGCAAAATATTTGTGCAAATCAGCAAATGCATTTCTTTTATTAAGTAAATGGTGTAAATTTTCTGGTTAGTTGTATAGTTAAAAATCACAAACGATTGTGACAAGGAGTTGTTGGGTTGTTGGAGTAGTCACAGTATAATTACTATTATGTACAAGTACGAGCACAGAAGTTGGTCAGTATGAATGTACAATAGAATTTTTTCGCTCACCAGTGAGACACCGTACCTATGAGTGGCCTACGTACTCTGTACATCACACACCAAATTTGACCAAAAGAAAATATAGTATTTACTTTCGTGGTTTTACTGTTTTTGTTTTGTTTCGTCGATTACATGGGATAGGAAATAGTGTAATTAAAGTATTCGATAGTTAACAATATCGAGTCCGAAGTTAGTAACCCAGTCAGAGAATTTCCGCGCTGATTAAATAATAAAGTACGTTATACAATTTTTGAAAAATTTGCATCTTTTAGGCTCACTCTATGTGTGGTCGATTTCCGGTTTGAAATCGGATCAAAATGACTTCAAAGCTACCGGAACGAATTCTTCTCCCATCACGGCTCATACATCATACGGGTTAAAGGTCCGCTTCAGTCCTGATTCCACATTATTAGTTACAGCGTCAGCGGATAAGACTGCCAAAATTTGGAAAACTTCAGATTTAAGTCAAGTGACATGCTTCAAAGATGAGCGGCAACGATGGGTGTGGGATGTTGCTTTTTCCTTAGATTCCGAATACGTTATTACCGCATCTTCCGATGGAGCTGCGCGGCTATGGTCAGTGAAAGACCAGACGATAAAGCGTGAATATACCGGGCATCAGAAAGCTTTGACGTCCATGGCATTCGCTGATTCTGCTGTTTAACCCGTTCCCGTCCATTCCTGTCAAATGGCAGGGCGGGGGACTCGTTTTCTACAAGAGCCCGTAACGCACATAGCTCATATTCTTTAGTTATATTTCACAATAGAGACATTAGGTGTCGTTTTTAAAAATCGGACTGTCCAACACAGTGTGGTCTGGGCATGCACCAAGTGACCAAAGGTGCCCAAAATCTGGAGTTTTGGGTTCGCGAAGGTCTTCGTTGCCCCTGCAGCCTCCCAGCACGAGATAATTCCAAAATAAATAATTCAAGCCAATCTAGCGGCCCTTATTGCAAAATCATTAGAAGACAAGAAAAATAACTGGACAGCGGACAAGCACGGTCATCCTAAAATTTCCTGCCACGTTTGACAGGGATGGGCATGGATCTACTTTATCAATAAAACTATAAATTCGATATAAAATCTCAAAGGCTTAGTGGAAAGCCACACAGGCAATCAAAAATTCGAGCAAAAAGAGTGTTACAAAGGTTGGTATTTTGGTGGTCATCGAAATGACCGGTGGTCACTAAGCTCGAAAATTTTCAAAAAACGCTTTTTTTGGGCGGAGAATTTGAAAAACAATTTACAAATAAAGTGCAAACAACATTAACTAACGCGAATTATGGACCTAAAAAGTGTTTCGGTTTGAAAATTCAGATTTATAGTATATTCGAGAAACGAATATGCTACGCAGTAAGCACTATGCCTAGAGTAGTCCAGGATTAGAAGAAATGATGAGATTTGAACTGATGTAAACGTAAATTCATGGAAGGTATTTCACCCAGCCATTTTTAAAATTGTACAGCACTTTGTACAAATTGTCCCTTACGAATAGGCGTCATTGAGTTACCAAGCTATAGCGGATAATAGCGGAAATGACCATGCGGGAATAGTTTTTCATTGCCGGTGCGGCATACGCCGTATACTCTAGGATGTAGGTGATGCGTTGCGGGTAGTGTCGCTGTGGTTACTGGCTTATGAACCGCTTAGTGATGGCTGAGACCGTTTGTAGAGTACCCTCTACAACCTCTATTCACTAAAAAGGTACCAAACGTCGGCTGAAAACAGTAAGCGGAAATAACGAAGATTGGTTACCATACAGTATAACGCGAACATCAGCGGCAAACACCGCATATGTACTGCCAGTACTGTACTGGTATGAGTGGCAAGAATGCAGTTGTTGTTTCTATCTAACTGAAAATCGTTTTCTATCGTTTTTTACTGAAAAGCGTGGACACTGTATCTGTTGTAACGCGTGGCGGCCGAAAAGTGCAGTTTTTTAACAATTTTTGTTATTACTGACCACTGGTCATCTCGATGACCACAACACTGTCTGGAATTGAAGAGCTTTTTGAGGCCTTTCGTTAAAGCGTTCCCCCGCCCCAGTGCTACCCTCCCATAACTATTTATAAATTTCGGCGTGCTACCTGCCAAATGGCAGGATGCCCATCCCTGTCAGTTTGGCAGGCTATCGCCCTGCTTGACCTATGGTCACAAAAATTCTCAAAAAATCAGTTTTTCTTGATTGAATTATTTGGTTCTGGAGTGCCAATTTTCAAGTTATTATTCGCACTCCTTTTGGTAGCTGACTTTGGTGGGTTAACTACAGCTCAACGTAACCAGGGAATGTTTTAAATTATTGTACTGTAGCTTACGATGCCAATTTACCGGTCTTATGTGGCTAGTGGCTGCTTTTTTTATATCTTTGACGGTGTTCTGTAGATGAAATCCTGTATTGCAACTAACGAATTTTATAAAAAATTCTAAATGACAGCTAATGCTGCAGATATTATTTTCTTGCACAGCAGTCCTGCGTTTCTGTGATTGCGCTTCCATTTCAGTAAATTCTAAACCTGCAGTCCCGTCCGTCAAACCTATCGGCTACTTGTACAAAAGTAACAAAACACATGCAAGAAAGTATCGAAACTACCCGCGCATTTAAATTTACAAGTGAATGCAAAAAGCCAGACTACTCGTACAGGTGATGCCGTCGCCGGTTGTATTTGTTCATTAGTATTTAGTACCACTGGGCTGAAAAATACTTTTCAGTTTTCCGCAATGTTTTACTTACTACTGTATAGAGCATTGTCTGTACTGGATACACTAGAATCTGCTACAAAACACCGGCTTCCCTCGCTTAATTGTAGCCTTTGTAAGCTGTTGGCGCAAGGCATTTAGAAACACAGTAGTAGACCCCGCGCAAACTGCGCGGAATAAATCCACGTTGGAATACTTACTACAAAAAATATAAACCCATTACCGCAAAATTAATGTGTTTCAAAAACATTAAGCTTAAAATAATTTAATTTGACTGGCAAATACTGTAATGACCAAAATACATTTAATCCACGGCCCACGCTTCGTTTTTCACCGCACTGACGATAACTACTCCCGAGCTATCCGTAAGTTCACAATTGTGTGAACATTTAAGCATTCCCGGTCCGCTTGCAGGAAATTTCAAATTACCTGGGACACGAAAAATATAAAATTTTTTTTCTCGGAAACGTTCTGTTTTTTTGTGCAGTTGTCAAACAGATTTCTTCAATTTTACCTGACCAGCCACCAAGCAAATTCCGCTCAAGTTTATCCCCAAAATTATATGTTCGCCCCATTCTGCGATTTTTTAATATTCTCTCGTCCCGCTGAAAGCAACCAACTGATTCGCCACCGTATTGTCCGTGCCGCCACTTCCAGGTTGCAGTACTTACGTCCCAGTTAATAATCATGATGGCTTCCGCCTTCAGCCATAACTATTGTCTGCAATGCGTGGTCGCTATTACTTTGATAGTTTATAGTTTATACGCAACATTAAAATTACTTATTTAAAATTTTATTGCAATTGTTGTGACATACGCTAGTTAATCCAAGGCCCCAAACAGTGTAAGGAATCTCGTTGACTTTTATACAGTGTAAATTCAATGCACAGTCATTTTATAACCAAGCGTCACGTACAATGCTTTTCTAAAAGTAAATAATAAGTTCTGTAACATTCGAAAAATTTGCTCCCAGAAAGGGCAGATGAGATTCGGCAACAAAGACTATCGCACCCGCAAGTGGTAGCACTAAATTTAAAACTGATTAAACCGCTTCGGCAGGCAGCTACTTTATCTGCAGACCTTGCGGCTTCCAGCCCCCGCTTCCCCACAGTGAATGTGAGTCCTTTCAACCTTTCATTTTCTTCCTCGAAACTGACTTTCGATGAGAAATTATTAAGCTCGAAGCTCCCAAATGACATACGCAAAGGTTTGAATTTAATTCCGTACGTGTAATGTTTAGCGGAATTGTCAGAATTGCGTTTCTGGCTGTCATTCTGTTGGAGACAGTGGTGGTGTGGGCGGGTTTGCAGTGGTGGGTTCTTTACTTTTCCCATAGACTTCGTATGTTAAGCTTTTTTAAAATTTTCTCTCAAGTCTCAAATAGTTTAGAAAAACCAACCCGTTTCTGCAAATCTATGATCGCAGCGCTATCAAATGATCTATAGACACCAAAGTTTGGTTCAGTGTGTCGTTTGCAAAAGGGAGATACGAATGGAATTTTGCTAAGGCTTACGCTATTAATATCGAGAAAGATGGCGTAATGACGAAGAAAATGCATATGTTGCAAAATGTTGGGATTAATTATTGCTCATTACGTGATCAATATCATCAAATAGTACAAACACCTTATCAAAATCTTTCGTTTTCAAGTGATTGCAATCTTTTGTCAAGTTTTGTGCGAAAAAAAATCGATACTGACGGTGAGTCCAAGGTGCGCCTCAACAACCAGACTCAGCCTCTCAGGATGTGGGTTCGCTTCAAGCCGTCTCTCTGGACTCTGTAGTAACGCAGATGACGGCATAACTAATCTGACGGATGTGATGATCCGCTTCAGTCTTGCAGCCATGATGCAATGCGCCAAAAAGTTCGTTTGATTCGTGGAATATATAGGCTAATATAGCCCTAATTTTCGTCAGACCAAGTCCGACATCTTGTTCTTGCTGGCCACAGTTGCGCTTGTCAGTTTTGAGTTTTTTACGAAGTACTTTACTTTTAATCCAGAAATTTAAATCCGTGAACCTTTCGCGAATTAATTTTACGCATTTACTGTCCACAGTTGTTATACAGTATATACTATATAGCATTAAACAGTCCTTGCGCCTTACTCGCTCCTGTTTTCTCGAATCCGATTGTCGAAACTCAAAAGACAGATTCGTGAAAGTTCGAAAATGGATCAGAAGGTCACACTGGAAAGCAAGGATGAGAACACTATCGAAGTGGAGCTCAATGCCGTCAAACATTCCAAGCTCATCAAGGAGATGTTGATTAACTTAGGACAGTGGCCGAACGCCGATGGTACGCCGAGTAAGCCCATTAAAGACGGCGATGAAGCGATTCCCCTGGCTGAAGTGAAGTTCGCCGTGCTGGAGAAGATCGTCGAGTGGCTGAACCAGTACAAGGACCAGCCGGAACTGGCCGAGGACGAAGAATCCGTTATTCTGCGCAAACTGGACGACGTGGCTGATTGGGATAAAGAATGGCTGGGAAAGATGCGTCGCGGTCAGATTTACGAGCTGGTAATGGGTGCCAACTACATGAACATTCGCGGTCTGGTGGAAGCCTGCTGCAAGACCATCGCGTCCTGGCTGAAGAACAAGACTCCGGAGCAGATCCGTGCGGAATTCGGCATCAAGAACGATTTTACGCCGGAGGAGGAGGAAAAGATTCGCCGTGAGACGGAATGGTGTGAGCCGGATCGCGATCTGGTTTGAGGAAATGAATCTCAGCCAGGAATATTCCTTTCGTGTTTTTATGATGTCATCCATGGTACTGTTATGGTATACCTGGGTTTTTCTCTTTTCAGTTTTTTTACGTGATGAGAATAAAGTTGTTTTGTTAGAGGCCGTGTGGTTAAGGTGTTGATCTGTATATTGGAAATGTTTTGGCATGGTAGTCTTCTGTTTTCAGGTGTCATGTGCTTTTTTTCGTTGAGCATGATGCATCCGTTTATCATCTCTTTGATCTTTAATTTTCTCGAACTCATTCGAATCAGTTTAGCAGCACAGTTTGCGAGTACAGTAGTAATTAAACTCTTCAGATGTGATGCGACGTGGAACTGATTGTCTCCTCATCAAATAAGAAAGTACGAGAATATGTGTCACTTTATGCAGTCTCATAGTCATAGTTCTTGACTTGGAGTCATATTTTCTAAGTAAGTTCTAGTCATATTTTCTATGTACGAGTACACATAATCCCAAACCAAAGTTTTGGGATCATGGAGGAGGAAATTAATTAAATTAGCGATTTATATTCACTGGACACGGATGCCGTACTTACTGATAATGACCCAGTTTGATTTATACTTTTACTTTACATCCTGTTTGTGAACTTGCGACATAGAACAAAGTAATTACTGAAACTGAACCAGGAAAACTGGGTAAGTTTATCCGCTTTGGTATAAGACGTATGAGTTTTGACGTTGCCCTGAAGTAGAACATCTTCCCGGAAATTCCTATGTAGCGCTTTTATTAAAGAAATAACCTTTCCAGGTAACGAAGAACGAAATAAACAAGTGCAGAGAAATGACAACTTCCAAAATCAATTACGAAAATAACCACTAAGCGTTAATACCAATTTTTTAAGCGCCACACGATCATCAAAATGATCTGCAAGCATGGAAATATTTTCGCTAAAGGTTACAAGGACTGGAAAACGAGAAAAACGAAACGCCATGCTGCCCAAATCGAGAATATCTTTCAAGGCGATGCAACTTCTGGCGCGTATTGTCGGCATGCTCTTTCGAGCTCTCTTGTCTGCAATTAACAAGATATGAGTAACCAGTAACAACTTCAAAGATAAATAAAGAACTTCACACTTATATGCCTACTTTTACGTTGAACAACTGCGTCAACTGATGATTGGGATGAGAATCTTGTAACTGGTTGATGTAGCGATTAATTACATCATCTTGTTTTGCCGTATGTCCACCGCAAACTATTAAATTCGCCAGAATTGATGGATTATTTGGATCCTGAAATTTGAATTACACATCTCACTCGCAGCAGTTCGTTTTCAAAATTCAAATATTACGAGCAAAACAAAACAGAAAGAAAACTCAAGTAAAGCTGACATCCACTGTTATAATTACAAAATCTCACTTTCTGCAATGCTTCCTGTAAATAACCTTCCGCTTCCTCCCATCGTCCCATGCAAAGTAGTGCGGTAACCATCCCGTTCAAGCAGATTGTGGACGCAGAATATTTATCAGATAAGTCTTTGAAAATATGGTATGCTTCTTGAATATGTTCACCATTCTGAAACATTTAGCGAAATAAAAACTCCGATAGAAAACGATAAAATTTCCTAATGTCATTCTGCAGTACCATTTGGAGATTAACAGTAGCTTCGGCAATCTGGGTAAGAGTCGCATCTTCTTCAAACTCCTGCATCCGCTTCACGGTTTTTCTGTGAAAAAAATTATTTGACAAAAATAATAAAAAAATCAACAGTTCGAAATACTTCGCGGCATCCGGTCTTTCCATTTTGCAGTAGATGAAAACTGTGTGCGCAAGGCTGCAAAGTGGAAGTCAATAGTTTAGATCTCAGACTTGTAGGACTGTAATCCACTACATTTCACTGAGTACTAAAACAAACATTACCAAGAAACGTGTCTCGGCAACTTTAGTCAAAAGTCAAAACCCATAATACTGTAATGGCAGCGATTATTTAGTTACTGCAGTTTACCAAAAGCCCTGTGACAATGCTTCGTACTAAGTCTTGTTCAAAATGCCGAACAGAAGCAAGTAAGCAGATCATAATTCCAAATCTAGCAAGACAAGACAATAATTATTTTTCTAGAAGGCAGATAATAACTTACCATTCTAAATGGTCAGATTGATGCAGTATCCTCAAAGCAGCTTCATAATTCTAGCAAAACAAAAATAATTTTTCAATACAGTATTTTCGGAGCAACATGTACAGCGTTACGAAAGCCAAGGTTTAAAGTTACTTATGTTAAATACTGTTTTTGATAAGCACATTACACTTCAAAAATCAGCCAAAGGACTGCCTTTAGCCAATACTACTGTAAAAGTTATTTTGAAAAACTGCAATCAACTGTCATGACTAGATTTGCAGATAACAATCTCATAATGACGCACAAAAACAAGAAAAAACGGAACAAACATGAAGGAAAACGTACCGCAGATATATTAACTTCTTAACTGAGCACTCAAAACTTCTTTTGTTTAAACATTTACCAAAATTTACATAACGATGCAAGTATATAAATCTATCCACAGTTTCCAGGATATAAGTTTTTCGTACCTCTTCCAACCCATAAATACATGCCGCAACGATAAACATTGCATAATTGGTGCTGGCAACTCCACCGGACGCGAGTTTTTCGTCCAACTTCTTTACGACAGTGGCTCTACAAAGATTTATGTTTCGCAAGCATTCACAAGCCGATAGCGCACTAACATCATTAATCATTAATTATATATACCTTTTGGATTCATCAATTTGGCTAGCCTGGCAAATCTGCATATACTCCGCAAGCAAACAAACAGCTTTCAGTTCTTCACTCGGAGTATTCCGGAGCTCATCCAGCACCAGCTTAAACTTCTCCAGCGCAATGTATGCACGATACATGAAAATATCGCGCTCTAGTTTCAATTCAGCCGCTGAAACCTACGTTCAAGAATTTGACATTGTGTTAAGTCGCAATGACACAAAATCACAAAGTACAGCAAAAGAAAGCAGACCATCTTTTAAGTTTTATGACTTTGCAAAAATACAGCGATTAGCAATGCAAAACGGGGTAGCGATTTAACACAGACTACAAAGTTCAATAATGGCCCTTGTAGTAGTTGTCTTACCTTAGTTTTCATTGCCTCATTAATGCATTTCTGATATTCTCCCAGATAGTATGAATTACGCATGTCAAATAAAGGGTCTGCGGGAGGTTCGCGTTGAGCCATGTCGGACAAACTGAGTCCTTTCAGTAATTACTGTATGTTCGCGATCACCAGCTACGATCTTGAATCTTCAGGCAGTGGCACACCACTGAGACAAGTGGATGTCAGAACTAAAATTCCGAGTACTTCTATGATGAACAAAAGCAAAAACAAACACTCCCAGTCAGATTTGAAAAAAGAAAAATCAAAACTTGACAAAATTATGGTAACTGTAAATTCTGGACACGTGGACTTCTAATAAACGCAACGCGAATAAAGTAGCCGCCTTGACAGCGGTATTTCATCGAGACAACTTTTGACTAAGCGCTAACTGAACCAGCTGGCAGCCACTTGTGATACAAAGGTCTTAAAAATTAAGTACCTATTAAATTATCCGCCATTCATTACCCACAATACGCACCTGCGTCTGGTTTTGAAAAATTAACAAGCTTTCTAGTTTCTGCTATTTTGTGCTGCTGTACTAAATCAGCAATTGGATCTCTCGTTTCGAACATTTTACTTCTGAATAAACGGATTCCAAGTAAACGATTTGATAGTTTCGAAGGTTTTCGTCGTTTCCAGTTGAAAAAAACTGCTAGCAAAGATTGAGTAGTGAGCGCTCCCAATGCAGCGTCGAACGCTTACAAGCATTCTTTCGTTCAACAAAACAAAATACATAATTATTACAGCAAGTCAGCAACTCAATTCTCGATCATGATTACACCAAAAACCATAGTTTCGTATCAAAACGAGACAAATCGCTACACCGAGGCGTAAAAAATGCCTTAACTTTAATACCAAAACGTTCGCGGTGGTTTTCTTGTATCTACTATGCCCATTGCTTGCATAATATCTTCTTCGAAAGTCCGAGGAGCAGGAGTGAATGTGACTTCTTTTAAAGTTTTATCATCGGTATCCTTGGGATTTTCTAAAAAAAAAATTACCAACTCAGACATCCACGAACTTCAAAACTTATACGAAAAGTCTAACGAAACCAATTTTTCTCACCTTTATAGCTGCTTCTGGTTTTGTATTCGTAAGTCTCTTCAGCTTGTACCGGTAAAGGAATTATTCGCCCAGTACGTTTCGACACGCGTACTTTATCGCCCTCCTCTGTATATCTCCATTCCACCTGGGTAGCCGTACTACAGAACGTTAAAAAAATTACGATTCTTATTTTTGTGAAAGCGGTCATGTGAAAGCGGTCATAATTTAACCGATTCAGTTAAGTATTACCAATCAAATGATTTTAAATATTTAAGCAAACAGTTCATTCAATAGTTAAATAATATAAAAATAGACTTTGCTTTGAAGTTACTAAAAGCAGTGCTAGAGAGACGCTTGATTTAAATTTTTTTCCAGTATAGTATCATTAAACAATAAAATTACTTGTCTGTTGGATCAATCAATGCTACTTCGTGGACGACATCCAGCGGCATTTCTTTCCCGACGATCCGCGCCGGAACACCAGCGGCCTTCCCGACCTCTTCATATTTCTAAGTGGTGACCATAAAAGCAATGAAACAGCAACCATCATTCAGCACACAAACCAGAAAATTAGCACCACGCTTACAAGATTCTTTCCCCTGACAAAGCACCAGTTCCGTTCGCGAACAACCTGCACCACTTCAGCTCGTTTCCCCTTATCTTTACCAGCTAATATCTGGACCTAAAAAGTAACAAACAACTTATACAGCGCAGATACCCACAGAGTGCAGAAAAAAAGCAGTGGTTTCACCGATTTTAGAGTATCTCGAAAGTGTAAAAATATCAAACCAAAAGAAGATTAAAATAGGGTTCCATCGATAAAAACCACAGAATAATAAACAGACTAACGCGGCGCAAACGAAATGTTAGCCAGCAAGGCTGCAAGTGACTGCAAGTCGAAGCGACAAAAGAATCCAAATATTTTTACAATTAAATTCTTTCTGGTTATCTGCTTGTAATTTACCAAATCGCCACGGTAAATGCACCAATTTTTAAGAGGCGCATGGACTAATCTATCGCGATCCGCAATCCTGCTCGAAGGGTGATTTAGGTTCTTCTCCGAATTACTCCAAAAACGCTCTTCAGTGTATCGATAAGTGCTTCGCTCCCATTTTGGGTCTTGCTTAATGCCCTTCTCTTTCTTTAGGTAACCCTTAGGAAAATTTCGGTGATAACATAACCTTGCAATTGAAAGTCGCATGATGAACGTAAATCCAAAGACTCCAATCAGTCCAATGACAAAATAAATAAGTCTTTCAGTGGAATACACTGTTGGAGCAACGATTACGCAAACAACTTTTAATAATGCGATGGCATCCGAGCAATGTTCACGCTAGCGCGAATTCCGACGCAACAATAAACAAGAACCTGCTCGCAGAATTTAGATACTAAATGTGAAGTTGCTAGTTTCCTGGATCGCTAGAATCCTTTAATTCTGAAAGATGCTGAGGATCCCTGTTGCTCCGAAATAATGGCCCGAATATCCAAGACAGATCCAGATCGTAAACAGTTTCAGTTTTCACTTTCAGTTTTTTCTTTCAGTTCATTAACAAACGTGTCACTCAGTGGGAGTTGTGATCCCTGAAACTTCCACATACTGTACTTCTTCCGCTTTAAATAGAGTGTAAATTAGTAAATACTCTTCCTTTGGGATTTGTTAAGCCGCATAGCAAAATTTCACGTAACCGCCATGTCTGCAATTGCATGTTTTACAGTACTATGTAAACATCGCAGTTTCCTTGTCTTCTGGTGATGCCAGATTTCCGAATAATATTATTAATTTCATACAATTAAGTACATTCCACATTACATATCGTTCCGCTACTTCTTATGCCGTTACTTTTATACAGATTAAACCAAATCACCGTGATCTATACGCCGAAAATAAGTTAAGTAACCATCATGAGCAGAGATTAATCGTTTCGCTTATCAGTTTATGGGAGTCAGTGCCCGCGGGCAATGGACAGTGGATGTTCTATCACAGCATCAATTGATTTTAATTTTTTAATTTTATGCTGACAATAGGTGTTAGCAGTGTATTTTTTCAGAATAATTTGCTTCAGTAAAAAATTTAGCATACTACCGCCTCTTCCGGTATAACCCCTTGCAATCTCATCATTTTATCAATTCTAGCAAGACGTTTTTCTAATTTCTGTACTGCAGCCGCCCGTTCCGCTACCAGACTAGCAAATCGTATCTGAATGTTTTCGATCTTGGCCTCAACATTATCCAGCTTGTTTAAGAAGGCATTTTTCCGGCGTTCCGCTTGTTCAGCTGCCTCCGTGTCAAGAAGGTTGTCCTTGATCAGCAGTTGTTTACCCAGTTCTACCATTTTCTTTTGCCCTTCCGGATAGTCTCCCAGTGATTCCCACAAATCTTCTTTTGAAAGACAGAACAAATCAGAGTAGCCAATGCTGCGCACATTGGCGGTCCGTCGGTTGCCCGATTTGATGCCGGCAATATTCAGGATACTGATTTCACCAAACACGGAGCCCTCTCCTATGGTGGCGAAAACCGTTTCTCCATCATCGGACACTACCGACAAACAACCGCGCTTGACGATGTACAATTCCCGACCAATGTCACCTTTGCGACAGACGTAGTCACCCGGAAGGAAAACCTACATAAAATCGGTCACAGGTACGATAACATAGGTATATTATCAGACAAGTACGATTACAAGATTATTGAGTGCATATGTACAAAAATAATATAAGGTACGATAGTTAAGAGTTAAGACTAAACTAGTAACATTAAGGTTCATAATTTTTAGTACTCCGGCCTTTGGTGACCTTTTCGTATTTTTTGTATGTGCAGGGAAGCAAATCAAACTCTGGGTTCGCATTTATACATATTTTCAGCCGATTTCAGTTAATCATGAATCGAGGATTCTCTGTCATTCGTGTTGCAAAGCTGCACCAAGCATATATAAGCTGTTAGAAAATGGAAAGCGGACTTAGCGGAGATCGATAGAGGGTTGTCACCGTTTGTGTAAATAAATAAGGCGAGCTTGGGGAGCGCGGGAGTCGTTGTCAGCTGCGATATGTGAGCAGAATGCAAATACAATAGTGTACCTGCAGCTTGAGTTTCATAACGAGATCCATTAGTAATCCAGGTTCGACGCCTTGGAATATTCGTACTCGTTTCATAGTTTCCAGGTGGACTTGAATTGACAGTTCCGATTCCAGCTTGTCATGCAAACAGGTCAGAGTTTTTCTTTCGTCAACTGTTTCACGTGTGACCCATTGGTGCTCAAAGTGATTTCTGCAATTGTGCAGACCAAAAACTCACAATCAATAACCAATACAATAAATAACACAATAGATGACACTAAGATATAAAACAACGGCAAATATGAGATAATAGATGTACAGTCACAAAAAACTGTTGAATTATGTGACGACCATAAAACCCGGCTTAACTATTGTAGTTTGCATGATTAAGGGTTATGTTAATTATGCACTTACATTATTCGTTTTCTTAACGCTTCGCCAATCTGCAAGACAGAAAGATCAGTGAAGACTACGAGTTACATTAAATATAATTAGATAGTGTGAATATGTGAGACATAGTTTTGAATTGCTTATTATACATATATATATAGAAAAATATCAGGGCATGATATGGTATAACAACTTGCATTGCGCATCTCCATATACGCCTTAACACTGGTTATGTTGGTGCGGAACTCCATCCCATGAATATCCTGATTGATAATCGTTCTGGATACGTTTCCGAGTATTTGGGAAAACAACATTACGGATACCAATAAACTCCCCACCATGAAGAGTAACTCTCCTGGATATTGCGGTTGCTCTACTATACCGATCATGGTCAACGTGTGTCTGCAATAATTGACAATTCCGTTATCATTTTCACCGTCAGTAGTTAGTGTTGACATTAACTTAGCATGAGACAAACAAAATTACTATGTTAATATACTTACAGTGATCTATAGAAGCAGATGATGTATTTCGTCAACAACTACAAAAGCGACTCGGTAATATAGGTTATTATGTGTTCGGAAACAGAGAAGCGAAACATAAATAATTTTGTTATAATTAATTAACTTAAAACGGTTACGTACAATGCGTCTCTGTCCGAATTACTTTTAGAAGTGCGATCAAAACCAGCATATTCTCTAAACTTATCTACCGGATCTTTTGCGTGTCCATCCCCTGTGTTCATGCTTATATGATCCAGTTTTTTTCCATTTTCTCCTGGATAGACCCATTCATCGGAATCCAACCCTGATAGAGATATGATTGTAAACAGCTAAACAATTGTATTTGTGTCACAAATTTGCACTATTTCGCAATCGAGAATTTACTATAATAATATAGTCAAACGAAGTCAAACTATTAATATGGTACGTAGTACTTGCTGTACTAGAATAATTACAATAATATAATTATTATTATTATTAAACACATATGTACGATTTTGCAGTAGTTCGGCACCCATTTCATACTAATTGTATACCGAAAGCGAAAAAGAGAACATCATAACCTTTTCCTACCTGCTCGCGCTGATATCAGATAAAAGAAACATGCATTCCAGTGAATGAGAACGAGGAAATTGGATAGCTGAAACAAAAACGTGGTAAAATTTGTTTGAGAATGATTCACTATTGCGAGCACCCGATTAGACGTGCCAAAAATGCAGAAGAATACGTTATATTTATGGAATCGCTAATTACGAAATTTTATAAACCACGGTCCAGTCTGCGCTTATTGTTGGTATATTAGGAATTTAGGTGTGCATTTTAGCTGTGAAGAAGTTTGTCCTTATTTGCACTTTTTATTATTGCCTATTAATGATGGCTGTGCAATATGAAAAGTGTCCATAGTGTTTTTCTTAAAAAATCGGAAAATTTGTTAATTATATTTTCTGTTCTATTGTTTAAGTCACTTATATAAAGTTGGGCTTTAGCGAAATTTTTAGGAAGAACACCTTGCATAAACACTTTATGTGTGTACTTACTAAGATAAACAATCTGTACCAGCTTCCTGCATTCAGCCGGCTCTCTGTCAACCTGGTGAATTCTATAATTCTTCCGTATTTCAGGACCCGGTTTAGCCTGATGATAGTATATGGGACATTTACTCCAACCCAAATAAATGCTATATCGGTCGGGATCAGACTGATAAGGTCAAATTTTCCTAGCCATGATTTCAACCAGTGCCGCATGAGTTTACGCGGTTGGCGGATGTATATTCCGTCAGATTCCTTCAGATAACTTGTTAACATGCGTACAAAAATATCCACAAAGTATATCAGATCTGCCAAGTAGTCGGCCGTCAGGAAATAAGGAAGGTACGTCGCATCATCCAGTTCGTCAAAGACAGAACGAGGAATAATGACCAGGATATTATAGAAAATGGCGACAAATACAACAAACGACCATCGGTAATATAGTATGCTTTCAGGATCAAGCATCCATTCTGGGCGAAACCTGAAGAACCAAAAATCTTATAAAGTCCACATATTCGGTTAAGTCATCTACCGTCTTACGCTCCAGCTTAGAACAAACACACAAAGGTTGTGTATAACTACGGATTCTGGATTTGATTTCAGTAAAATGTAACGTACGATCGCGAGTTTAGAGTTGCATAAAATCGTAAGTATGACTGTATGAGCATAACTTTACCATTAGTAACTTTCCCTGGGGTGCGTATAACTACCCGTGCTATTCGCCCGAAAGTAGCTCGGCAGCCATGTGTGCAACCTCATACGGTTTCATGAAACTAATATAACTGACCATAAAATTAGTACAGTGCGAATACGTATATATGCAGATATGATTTTATGATTAACCGACTTGATATCTCATGCTAAAATGTGGTTTTAGACATTTAGTACGCTGCCAGTGATAAATCCATTTGCGTTTTCACATCTCACGCAATCGGAAATTACCTGTTTTTGTTTCATATCATTCAGAGTTTGCCGTTTTTTGCTGAGTCAGCGGCTTTTAAAATTTTTTTTTAACCATACCGTAAGATTGTCAATACGAAATTGAAACAGTTAGCGGGGCCATCGACTGGAATGGTTACATTATACTGCATTCTAGACATTTCCTAACGACACTACAGTATAAGACATTTACCTGAAACACCAGATTTGCATGGGATCCTTCAACAAATCATCTGGATCAAACGGTTTTGGCGCATGGTTGACGAGCATAGCATTAGTCGACAGCGTACTGATCACGTACGACATCCGGCGCCCCATTTTTTCTAGTTTGTATTGCGGCAGTTTTCGATTACCTTAAAATGTTTAACCAAACTCAATACAGTTCTCAAAGTTGCCGACAAAGATTAATTTGATACGATTTTCGTAAAAAATTTATAGCTCCATAGCAAAGGTCATCACGAAAGTCTTGGAATATACATGCCATGCATAGAATTAGAGGGTTTTTTTGTAGACTTCCGTCGAAAACAGGTAAAAAATGTAAGGTAATGCGAAAAGCACAGTAATGGCCGGTTGGAAGACAGCGTCATAAAAAAGAGCCGTTAGTGTCCTTAGCATGTCCTTGGCATCATAGTGACTTTCGGAAAACTGATACAAACTAATTTTAAACGCCTACGCGGGCACAGAAGTTTAATACATCAGTTTTCACTTAAGGATGTCAGTCAGCTGAAAGAGAAGCCAGACTTGCAACTGCTAAAAACCACCTGTCGTCCAAACAAATCATGCATGCTGCAAAGTATATACAGGTACGTGCGTTCAGGGATGCGAAAGTAATACTTTGTCCCATGGTTGGGAAGGGAGTTGGGAATGGAGACTCCGATTTCACTTGTCGGCTGGTCTGCGCCGAGAAGGGTTTCAATTTCAACTCTGAACACTGGCTTAGATGATTGTCGGCTTTTAAGTTAACTGATTACCATCGCTTTGGACGTTTACCGATGTTTTCACTGGATTACAGCGTTCAAAAAGGAGTCTAATATTCAACGTTCAGGATTTGCTTAACACGCAGCTCAGGGAATTATCTCAATAAAATTTGACAGATTAATGCCCCTATGCACACAATTTCCGAAGTGCTTATAAAGTAACATTGTTAGAGGCATATTGCCCGGCTTATAACCAATTATTACAGTCTAAAATAAGACCCGTTTCTCTAAAATATTTCCTAACCTTAATCGTAAGTTTACAGTATGCCCTATGGGTGGCCGCTTGACTGACTGCCCGTCGATTTTTGTTCTTTTCGTACGAGTACCCGTACCTACATTCCACAAATAGCTGATATTTGTTTTGTTGTTTTGGGGATGGTTAGTTTTAGGACCAAGATGGAAAGCAGTGAGCGTTGTAATTTCAGGTCACATTGGCAGCAGCACAAAGATTTGACACTGAAAGGATTAAGTTAAAACACGGAACTACAATTGCAGAAAAATCTGCGCGAGAATGCCGGTGCTAAAAGATTAAATTTATCGGGTAGCGGGTTCTATTGTAAATAGCTCGTGGGATGTATGAAATGGGCTGACCGCTAGAAAGCTTCCTAACACGCTTGAAATTCTTGAATTTATATTTGGGTTGGCCGGAATTCTACCCTCGGCAGCTATGGCCTCGAAACCTTCTCCCTGTGACACTAACCAGCAAATCCTGCTAAGAATGTGCAAACAAGATGCGTTTATAATAAAAAACTTGGAAGCGCTTCACTTTTACTAAGCACGGCGCTTGTTTATGTTTTAGCTATTCGTGCATCGGTGCATGCTGCTCGAAAACCGAAGATCTTGCCAAGAACTGATCGAAGCAGTACTCGTACTCGTAGTCCGTAAAGACAACACCGTATGGACTGGGAACAACACCCATCCTGTCGCGTCTTGCGCCATAGCCCGGCATTCTACGGGATGGGTGAATGTTTTTCAAAATGGCAAGACTAAGCCAACATAAAATTCTGTCGAATAGGTTCAGCCATTTGTCATTCGCTTGCCCATTAGTTGTTGCATGAAAATTACTTCTAAAAAGTAAATTAAACCGACTTTCGAAACTTTATCATTGCAACTCGCTTCTTATCGAAATGAGTTCATGTACTCCAATGCAAATACTGATGTCCCACTGGTACTTTAAAGCAGATGGTCGCCATTAAGGCATTAATGCAGACTACGGCAACAACAGCGACGCGTAATGATTTAGCTTTATTTGGGCGTTGGGTGAAGGAAGACACTAGCACCGGAACACGGGTCAGCGGCGCAACCGGCCCGTTGTCCTTGCTAAAAAACAACCCCCCAATCCTCGCAAAAGATGGTGGGCGGGAGGGGAGAGCACATGTCAATCCTCTTGTTCCATGTAAGTCAACCTTACTTCAGCACAACAACAACTGAAATGTACTAAACGCAAATGTGCAAGCGCTATGCCACATCGTCAATCAGAGATGCATTACTCCTCCAATACATAGGAATGTATACATGTATCCCAACGACACATTCTAAAGGCTTTTCTCGGCTGGACACTGGTCAACCAAGTCGTCCAGCCTTTGCTCACACGTACTCGTATATTTTGAAAAAACGCGTGAACTACGGAATCTTGACTGAATACTGCTATACAGATTTGCATGGCTATAAAAGTCAGCGGCAACAATTCCCCATCAATAAGCAACATATGAATCATAGTAATATCGGTACATCGATTTAGACGTTTACTCAGATGGAAAACGTATGGATCACAATCACCCTTAAATCAGTGTTTTTTGTCTTGAAAAGACAAAATTTGTCCTGGAATTATTCTGTCGTAACCCGGCAAAAATATCTAGGTAAAAATACTGCTTTTTTCTCTTGAAACTCTTTGCGTCTGTCTCCTAAATTTCTGTACTTTGTATTGGAATACTAATTAGTTATTTGAAGACCCTTTTGTGTACGTAGCCATTTTTCGTATTTAATCAACAGGAATTTACTGACGGTTTAGATTCAGTAGTTGTTGGGGATGAGTGTATGGAAAAGTTTTCGACTGACAGAAATTATACCGGCAAGTTGGCAACGAACATGTCAGTAATCCCGCTTTGCATATCTTTTCTGAAAAATGCATTTTTCCTCCTCGGTGGACAACTGCCAGTTTCTATATGTCACCCAACCATCCACACCAATTTCGTTTGATAGCACTGAGCATCCAGTTCGATTGTCATGCAGTTAGAGAATACCGGTACATTGTGCGCAGTTTTTAGTACAACGATTCGCAATTGCTACTTCCCAAAACAAAGAAATAGGTATTAATTTGTAATAAGATACGTACTGCTGCACTGGCCAGGCGGTGTAAATAATTTTTTGCCTGAAAGAGTCAAGGATAGACACGGATGCTGTCAGTTTACATGCATCCCAATAAATACCATCAGTTAAATTCCTTGCCGCGTGCCGGATAATTAGTAGCATTGGAAAACAAAGGAAATCAAGAATTTCCGTGTTGGTGCAGCGCGGTATGAAGATTGCGCTCGACTGAAACATCAAGTTTTGTCGAACGCATTCACTAACAACTAACAAGTGCTGCACCCGCAATGGAACTGTATGATACACGCAGCCGTTGGGATGTCACTGTGTGAATCCTGATAAGAGACTTTTTTTGACTTCGGTGATGTACGCGTACGTGCCCCTTTGCTATGACATTGCGTTTTCAGCTATGAACCGTTGAATGTCTTCTGTTGATTGACCATAACGATTAATGAATATACAAGTAGAAACATGCCTAAATAATAAAATAAATGAATTACAACTTGCGCGGTGTTCTTTTATCTTTATGTATAATATGAACAATGTATATGTTGTTATATTATAGAGAGGTTTATTGTGTAGATGAATATAGATGAATTTAGCTTTACCACCGGCAAACTATCAGATAATCAAGCATTTCTGTTGGATTGATTGTGTTAGTTTGAAGTACTGCATACAAAAGCGGACCGTTTCAATGGATGCATAATTATAAGAAGTACAAAGTAGTACAATGTTCAGTAATTAACGTTATCGATTAGCATTTCGCGGCGCTAATGAAAATTTCATCTGCCTACTGTCGCACTTACAGTGTCTTATTACGTAATAATTATTACTTACAGTGCCTTGTTACAATTTACAAAGTAAAGTATACTCTGTAAATTTTAATAATTTAGCTGCTACAGAAATAAATCAGCTAGCGATATCGCTTTTATTGTGCGCACTCTGTCTCTCTCTCTCTCTCTCTGAGTCTGAAGGAGATTAATTTAAGTAATACTTAATTTGGCGCTACCATTGCTACCGGGAGTTTTTTTGAATGCAATAAAATATATTATAATTACATCTTGGCTGCTTCTGGCTAGCATGCAGGGAAAAAAATAAGGTGATTTGCGCTTATGCATAATTACAGTGTTAGCGCACATTCCGTAATCAATTACGGAGTACTACGCATAAAAAACAAGAATGCCCAATCTTTCAGGGTGTAATACAAATTTTTTTAGTAATAGGGTCGAAGTATCGCAATTGACTTAGCTTCTACGTATACACATTAACTCGTGCAAATGATGCTCGTACATCTTCAACAAGATTAATTAATCTTGTAAGTTTATGGGAAGCTGTAGAAGCTTAAGGTGAATTTGCTAGCTAAAATTATTTTAGTATTTTTCGAATGAAATTTGCCGAATCACGACAATATTCATGCTGAACGAGATAAAATTATAACTATCCAGGCGTTATCAGTCAGCGCTGAAAGCGATTTGCATGAACCGACATGCAAACCTGTGTATCGGATGCGGTTTTTTGTGAATCACTCATCCGAAACATATAAAACTGTCTTTCCATATAAATGTTATTAATAGGGTTTCACATATTCTTTGGGTTTTATGTTTAATTAACTGCATAATATTTTTGACAGGAGCGAGACTTTTTGTTGAGAAGTTCATTGTACCAGCAGAACAATTACAGTGTACTTAGTACATGCAATAGCTTGTGTGTAATGAATACAGTACAGCAATTCAGACGGGAATTATATTGACAGTGTGTCGTAAATTCCACAGCGTCATCTGACCGCTGGTAAACACCCACTCGAAGAGTACGGTTTTGTTACCTGCCATTTTTTAAATGTTTACCTGAACTGATGTAGCTTGTAAAAATGCATGAAGTTAAACTTTATGAAAATACTGTTTCTATTTTTTTGCAGTTTTTTTCTCTGTACACGAGCTTCTCTGTACACGAGCTTGCAGTCTGTTTCCAAGATTTCTTTGTGAGATGGTAGCTAGCTTAAGTCGACAATTTTCCCTGATTTGATATCGAAACTTTGCTCAGTCCGTATACGTCCCATATTTTAAAAGTTTGTGTTTTGCTTAAGAAGAGGTTCTACCGTGTCGGTTCACCAAAATTTTGATTTTCGAAAGTTTTCAGCTGCAATGAGCATGGTCTGGACTACCTTCAGACCAAAGTTAAGTTCAATTAGATTGTAACTTATAATGTTATTAATTTTTTGTGATAACTACTCCCATTGTTTTGGCGGACTGATGAACTTTCTGCTCTGCCGCCACCTGTGGTCAGAAGCGCGCAGCTGAATGAACACAACTGGCAATAGAACAGGTAGAGAAAGTGAGAAACAGTCGGGTGGCAAGCGGGATAGGAAACAGACCAAAATCTTGTGTGCCAAACGGGGACACGAAGAGATAACAAAGCCCGGGAAACAGGGTTCAGGGAGAACATATCTCGCGAACGCCAGCGGCCATTCACTGTGGCGGCACTGCAGGCGCAAAAGTGAGAGATTCCGCGAAAGTGTATAACAAAGAAAGTTCTTCGCTGAATCCTGAGCAATTTGATAAATTTAATTTGTAAAATCTATAACTAATTCAGGAAAGCTAATATAATTCTCAACTTTGATCAGTATGTGGAAAAAACACTTGCTAAAAACTTTGTGAAGCGTTTTTCTAAATTGCTGATTCTCAACTCCGTAGAAAAAAATATAAGTGTCTTCGGGTGTAAAAAAACGCAAATTTTAAACTCATTTTAAACTTTATCAACAAAAACTCTTCACAAAGTTTTTCCTATTCTAGTTCACGCTGCTTTGGCGTTGAAAGTAATTTTTTCATTATGGCTGCGTGCACGGGTAAACACGGGTTTTGGCTGCGTGCACGGGTGATATTTTTGGGTCCGCACGGGTGTTGGCTGCGTGCACGGAGTTTGGGAACGGGTTGCGGGCACGGGATTGCTAAACCGGCGTTGGCTGTGTGCACGGGAAATTATTTGAATTGTTTAATTTAAACTTAGTTGTAAATTTTAGTTATAAATTTTTTGATAATTACTACTTATGGAAACCTACTCACTTAACCCACAATTTCTTAACGAAAATACCTACCGCAAGTACTGGAAAATTTGCTGTACATAGCAAGTACAGAGTACTATGTTACGAGTTAATATCTATACTTGTTAGTGCAGTACCATGAAGTACTTACTCGTACTTGAAAGTCACCGTAAGAAGAGTGGAAGAAGTAAAAATCTCTGTAGTGTTTTTTTTCATGAAGATTTTTGTATTAAGGTAATGCCATTCCTGTGTAATATAGCCACGTTAGAATTTCGTAATACTGCCAAGGCTACTGCGTTCCTTTTGGGATGGATCCTGGAACGGCCACTTTTGAGCAGGGTCTGATGCGAAATTGCGGACACACTTGGTGACAGCTTATGAAGCATGCACTCGACACCATTCCCACTTGCATCAAGCCGCGTTGAAAACCTCTGAGTCGTAAAACAACGTATCTGTAACTATTTCTATGAGTAGATTATGATGGCTCAGAAAAATATGTCAAACCGGTCGAAAAACCTGTTGTGGTTGAATAAAACCTGGAAAATTATAAATGTTACGACTAAAATTCGAAATCATAAAAAATTGAAATAGCCGTGCACACAGCCAACACCCGTGTCCGAACTCCGTGCACGCTGCCACGCAGCCAAAACCCGTGTTTCCCCGTGCACGCAGCATCGACCTAATTTTTTTTAACAACATTGAAATTTTTTATAGAGGTTTTAAAATTTGTGTGGATTACGTCGGTTTTTTTCCCTTAAAATCTATTGACAATTTTTTTCATTCATTGACATGTGTAGTATGATCATTTTCCTTGTAATTGGGTGCGATGGTTTTGCCATCAACGCTTCGCGCATTGCGCAGAAACAGTTCTGCCGCTATGACAGTGAACACGGTAGAACCTCTAGTTAACCACAGACGAGTGTACCAATTCAAAGCGCTATTGCAGAGCATCAAAATGATATGCTTGTAAAAATGCATATACAATTGTAGTTCTAACTCTGTACACGAGCTTCGACAGGTCGACCAAAAAATTCACTGCAGTGTCATTAAACAGAAGTTAGTACAATTTTCGATTTTATTTGAGAATGGATCACAAAAAAGGCGGCTAATTCCGCTGAGCAATGATCATTTTCGAAGGTGCAGTAGTTCTTGTTAGCCAAGGTGTTCCAATAGTTTGATATTGACGAGAACGGTAGTGTTGGCTTCTATTCTGCATCATTATACTACAGCGAAGTGCGGCCTAAGAAACGACATGATTGTCCAAACAAACAAAGTGGTTATGCTGGAATACCGTAGATGAGATGCTAAACTTGACGATCTTTTCGGAGGACCTACAACATTCAACAATGTCATTTTACAGTACAATACTTTTTATGGGTACTGTGCTGTTATAATCAGTTGATTCACTGAAGGTCAAATAAGCATTCGGTTGACAAAACAGAAAGCACAAAACGACATTCAGCAGTTTCTCTATCAAGAAATTTACCTTTAACCCACACGTGCAAAAATTTATTAAAAATTTGCATAGGCAGCACAAAAAAAGCAAAAAATTTCATCCTTTACTTTAGGTTAGTAACAATAATACGAAGAGCGCCTTAATAAATACGTCCAAATTTGCAGTATTTACATAACTGTGTACGTATGTAGAAGTGCACCTACCAAGTACGGTACGTGATTTATAGTGTACAGAGAAGTGCACTAAACGCGATGAAATTATTAAGCTCACGTATTGTAATAAATATAGTACTAATAATAATTATTATGGTGTATGCATTTTTACTCTGTGTTTGATTAGACCAAGTAAAAGGTGACGTCCAGTTGTGGATGTTGTTATCCAATAACTCACGGTGGACATGCAGGGTGACGTTCCTGCCCAGTTTTGGGGAAGTTCCAATCTGACATTCATAAACTCCGGAGTCCGACAGTTTGACTTTGGTGATTGTCAAGGCCCAGTCTGAAGGTCCTTCGTTTTTGCTCAATGTTATTCTTTCATCTTCCGTCAACAATATATCGCCTACTGATAGTACATGGAAATGGCGATTGTTGTACTTGACCCACGACACCTGTCGTCGACAATAAATATATTCATTCGGTCAGCCAAAATATGTTACTGTACTAGTTTGATACAAGAGACAATTTTGATGTGCCAGCAAACAATTGTATACATATTAACAACATAAATCAATATCAACTAGCACAGTACTAATGTTTTATTACTTTAATATACTATACCATTTCTACATACGAGAACAACAGTTTAGGCCGCCCAAAAAATTAACCATGCATTAGCAGATACTACGTGGTATACAGTCTATCGTTAAGCGAAATTCCAGTTACAAAATCATGGCGCGCACGGTGCCTGGCACCTTCATTTGAAACTGGTAAATTTGTGCATCTTGTAACACTAGAAAGACCGGCTTTTATGTAAGTCTCTTACCATATTTTTTCCTTGATTTGATATCCTGCACGGCAGTTCAACTGGATTTCCTTTCTCAATCGTAAAGTTTGCTGGCAATCCCGGGTCAAACTGCGGCAACTTATGGTGTAGATTTAAGGTGGAATGTTTTGCGATGATTCTTTTGTTATGATGCTTTGCATCTGCAAATAAGTAAACAATCTTAATTAGGCTCACAGTTGCACTTGGCCGTGTACGAGGAAATACTCGGTAGTCGATCTGACTCGCTTTGTCCTATACGTGAGCATTATGCTGAATGGGGAATACTTTACAAAATGTAAATAAAATCGTAATCATACCAAAACTTGATAGAAATCATCCTAGACAAATGCGTGCATACTTGGTATTTCGTAAAGTACAATGTTCATATTGTACAATTTGTTTTTGTGTGATTGCTGATTTGTTACGCAGATGTTCCTGGCCACTATGTCACTACGGTATAGCAATACCATTTTTTGACGGCCAGATACAGTATATTTTCCAGTTTAAGTGTGCATATTTAAGTGCATTAAATTTCCATTTGCTTGTAAAAAGCACAAAAAATTGTCCTTTAAACATTCCATATTTTTTCCGGCCCATTAAACCAGTATCCTTTTCTTTGCAAGGCGTATGGTCCTTATTGATTTGACTTTTATACAATCTTAAAATTTGCAAACAAAATCGTTAAAACAATTGCACGAAGGTATAACTTCAGATGATGTACATTTATTCTAAGTAAGAGACTGTAAGTATGAAAATGATTAAACAAAGGATCTTACCTAAGCGTTAACTATTAACAGTGCATTTTGGGTCATAGTCAATTATCGCAAAACATTTTAGAAGATTTTCGCTGCAGATCATTTTAGTAGCGAATTCTTCTATGTCAGCACATGTTCTGCGGACATTGCATTGTGGTATTTGAAAAATATTTAATGTTTACGTTTCTTCTTAAATAGCATGCCACAGTCGTACGTTGATGTACGGAATATCAAATACTTGCTCGACCCGGTATTCGGGCATAATCGCGTGTTTATTTTTGTCACGCTAGTCAATATCCAACTAAATATGTTCCCGTCAGAACTACACACAACCGACAGACAACTAACGCTCAAAAGTCACAATCGACGGACTAAATAGATGGAAATTGTACAAAGTGTTCTTAAGCTGGTTATTTAATCACAACTAATGGCAGCCCCATCACTGGGACTTCCATAACTGTGCCCGTACTAGTGGCTCCCTTTCAACAAATTCATTTTCTAGCCGTTGCACAAATGCTGCATATGTATTACTTTGTAGTATCACATACGCTGTATCCATAAAACGGTGAGAATTTATGCTATAGTGCACAAATGGTTGCCGGGATGAGTGAAATGCGCAATATGCTCGGCATCATCGCTATGCATACGTATGCGCAACTCAATGTGGCGGCTTCCGGCTAGGCGAGGGGACAAAAAATCATGTGTGTTTCTTTGTACAAAGACCCAATATGTTCGTGCTCAGCTTATTGCCGTAATTTATCATGGGTACATGTTACTTGCATGAACGGTTTACCAAAGCCCAACAAATAAAAAGCGCAAAAGAACCAACTACGCCCTTTTCCCCTCGATCGTCAATCGAGCTCGTATCAGTTGAAAGACCAGCATTTGAACTAATAAATCAGATACGTAAGCAAACCCAATGCTCTTCTTTTTAATACACTACACGAGATCAACATCTCATTCATGTCTTATCTAATATTATCTTTCTTTAGCAAATATACTACGTAACGAGCTGACGAAATTACGACGTTCTGAGATATATTGCTAAAGTCGATAGCTAAAGGTCGAATATTCGTAGATCCCAAGATATGTATATGAAATTAACACGTGTGTACTTTGCACAGAGTTAAAAAAAGGTGCACCAGCAGATTTTTGAATTTACAACATCGTCGTTACTGGAGATTTTTCATTTATACTCGTACTACAGTTTCAATAGCCTCATAGTACGCTGCTTCCGCTGGTGTGTCTTTTCTGATAATTTCCAAGGACTGTTATTCGCGGATATATATGATTGTATCGAATAACATTTAATTTGTCCAAACTACAGATTTTGTGGAATGGAATTTAAAGCAAATTCATGCTTCAGGCTGAACATTATAGGCAATCCTTTTTTGTGCAGAATGCTTACAGGTAGCTAGCCGCATCATCGAATATTGAAAGTGTATCATTCTACCGGATGTGATTGATTAACACCCGATTGCAGCACGTTGTGTTGGGCTTGCAGAATGATTCTAATGATGCTTATGATCTTTGAGGAAAAGGAAATATGATTAGTTTACTTGCAGGAACTATATGGCCATCGAGGAGGAAAATTGGGTTACAATAAGGTGCACAGGAGCAACATGATCATGACTGCACAGTTAATCAATTAATCAATAACAGGTTAATATTTAACCGCTAGCCGAGGCAGCAGATTAAAAATGGTCGACTGCCAGTTTCCACTTTATTGCGCAATTTTACTGGAGTGTCATATACTGTAACCTTAGCGTCACTCGTGTTCACATTTCATGTCAAATAATACACAGATTTATGACGTAAAAAATGTGATGTCTGATTGTTTACCTCCGGTGCATCCCACTATCGGTACTCGTATAAAAGATGTGAGAAGTCATTTTTGCGCATGGATTTGTTTTGGTGTATATGAATACATTAAAAATTTTACTTGCCTTATTAAAACTCGCTCTTTCAAGGAATTAAAGTTAGTTCCGATTTCACATACATTTTTTTTAATTCATCCACACAAATGCTCAATCAGTAATAAACCAAGATTCATCGTTTCGCGACTATTATGCTAACACACTTGTGGTATAGTAGTATTCGTACATCAGCATGAAAATGTTTTCGCAGAAGGAACAAATAATGCGAGCTACGGGAATTAACACTAAGTAATAAAAACTGTTTCGTATGGTAGCCGCATTAATCAAGCAATCTGGCTGCGATATTCTTCCCTGCTCCTTCTTACGGACAACAGAAAAAGCTGTTGGCCGAACTCCGCGATTTTAAGGAAGGCGAACATCAATATTAAAGGATGTCTCATAAGTTATTTATTCTACATCTTGACAAGAAAAATGGGGATAAGAGGCGTAAAGCAGACATTGCCTGCCTTATATATGTCTCCTATGCGCTTAAATTCAGCCCAGATCGATGGCTCCTTTTGCATCGGCCATCTACCGAACAATTGTAAATGCGCTTCTCCCGCGTGCCGACCACTGCACGGGATTTAAGGAGCATTAATTCAGGGAAAACTTTGACTATATCAATAGTTCTTAACCAGTACAACCGCACTTTGTCTCTGTATAAGCCAAAGATCTCCCGACAATGCCATATGATGACCAACCTGTCAAAACGATGAGATTTCACCATCGCCGTTGAACTGTCAGTGACACGAAGTCAAAATGGATTTAACAAAATCGTTTGACAATCAATATTATGTATGTAGAGTGTAATGTGTGCTAGTAATGTTGTTGATATCTGTCACAATATATCCACTCTGTTTGGTTGTTAATAAAACAATTTCCTGGATATTCCGTATTAAGTGGTTGGGAAAATGGACGCGAAATACAGTGTATATCGATATCAAACGTTCCATATATGAAATATTTGTTGCACTTCATTGAATGCTAGCAAATGGTAGACTGGTTTCCTGTTACCTGATTAATATAAAAAAATTTAATGCTATGCTATCCTTAATTATGCAATTATGACCCGGGTGATTAACTATTGGCTGTCGTCTACAAACTCAGTGCTATATTAATGTTAAAGTGGAGAGATAATATAAGTAGTTTACATATGTATAATTGATCTCGTATTACGCTTTTTAAGCCTGGGTTTGCGTTTTCACACGGAGCAGTATTATGGCTTGAAGTTTAGCAGTACTTTTTCGGCGTCTCAGTGGTAAAGACAGGAAGTTTGAATTAAGCAGAACTTAATCAGGCTGTTGTTTCCCGTGGAGTAGAACATTTGCCTTCCCCTCTAAAGGGAAAACACTCTAAATGGCCCAGAGCTCAGGAAAGACATGGATTTTAAAAGTGTGGTTGCCGGCTGTTAAAGTCAGCAGATATAAGAATAGGGATGGATGAACATTTAACTGCCTTGGTGAATAATGATTGCTTGTGGTGGGAGCCACAGCATGCGGTGGGTATCAGCGCCCGGTTTTTGGTCCAGATGGCTCACCCCCCATCTCATTCACTACCGCCGTGCCAACATCCACCCCCAGGCGCAGGAACAACTTTTTCTTATAAAGCGATGAAACACAATCAAATTACAATATACATACCCAATTCCCCCTAGTGCAGCGCGGCGCCGGCACGGTGCTATTCTCTGATTTTTGCACAGCAACTTGTCCTAGTCCGGCAAATAGTGTGCGCGGCCTACGTCGTGTTAATCGAAACTCAAACTGCCAAGTACAATTTCAGTGCAATTTACACTGGAAGCAGTGATTTACTTTACTTATATATATAGTAGACTGCGAATCTGATATATGTTAGCTAAATTGAAAACCCTGCCGACGAGCCACGAACGGAAAGAGAACGTCAATATTAAAGGAACGCTGAATCTCATAGATTTATCCCCGCCAATACATGCACGTAACCGGATGAGCCTGGCTTAGCGGTCAGGAATGGAAACTGCCAGTAGAGCATTTCGGCTATAGGATTGTATGTCCGAGAAAACTGAGCTTAATGTCGGCTTTTATGGTCATTTCCGGACAGAAAAAGTGTAAACCACAAAACTTATTTGACTTCATGCACCCCACTCAGTATGTGCACAACAAACTGGAATAATACTATTTTGTATACCAGTACAAACTTTTAAATTTAGAAATTTCGATTGCGATATATTCGCATCACGATAGGCATCCAACTGTGAGTAAAAATGGCATTGGCCTCTTTAGTGGAGATCTTTCCTCAGTTTTTGCAAGTGGTTGCAGAAAACGGGAAACGCTGGTTAAAAAGGGCCTATTTTTTTATATTAAATAAAACCACCATCAACCTTATGCTCCCTATAACTGCGTCATCATACTTCGTGACTTCGTCAGGCTGATTGGACTGTTTATATCAATTAAACTTTAGAAATTATTTTGTTTATAGCAGTCTCAACCTAATTTTTGCTAAACATGTTGAGTGTGACAGAAGAACATGCTTCCGTTGTTCCTGCAAAAGCAGAATGTTCATACTTTTGTAACAAAAAAGACATAATTGGAGCGGCGTGCCTTGACACGCCGCTCAGGAATAACTGCTTTGCAGAATACGCAAATTCTGCAGGTAAACTAACTCATACGGTTGCTCATATTTGCCGGTGACTTCAAAATATAACCTAAAAATGTACGTAAATTTACGTAATTTACGTTAAATTTACGTATTATGTTCGCACTGCATGTATATTTGATATTCTACAGCATTCACATAATGCAAAGCCAAAACGATTAAGAAAAAAATTATTGCATGTTGACTTTACGAGGACATGCATAAAGGTGACATCGGCTGGATGCATAACTGCCTCGTAGTTATTGGTATACGTAGGCAGGTACATATATCTATACATGCGTGAAACAATTTAATTACGGTAATAAACTGTTGAGTTCGATAATGGTAGGCATGGAATGTAGAAAAAACGTCTGCAATTGTAACGGGATAGATTGTGTAAAGTGCTTACCACAAGGGAACATGGTGAAGGATAATAAGCTGGGAATAATCAATAACTTCCAATAGGCAGTCAAAGTGGACATCAAAGTTGCGGCAGGTGGGAAGTTATCCTTAAGGTGGTATATGAGCCGCATCTTCGCCGGGCTGGAAATGTTGCCGTCGTTGGGTATATAATTTCTTGGCAGTCCTAAAGTGTTGTGTATTGGCCGGAAATAATGATACACAGAAGCCGGCAAAAATGGGCTGACTGTTGTGATTGTGGAAATTATGGAGGGTTCAGGGGAGAAACGATACCCAGGCGATGTGACACCTTATCCTCAGTGTGCCATTTAACAATATGTCCTTTAACCGTACATGTACAAAGGCCCGAGATCAGTATTTACCAATTCCCGGCGAACACCGAGTGTATATACACGTTAAGTGTATCCAGAGGCAGCGCCCCGGCTGGCTGCAGCACGACACCGATCGGGGCAGTGCAGCAGCAGCCTTAAAGAAGCATCTGAGTGGAAATAATGACTGTTTTCTTGTCGGCACAAATATGGATTAAAATCTTATCCCCAGTGCGTTTCCTGTAGCACTGTGTGATAAGACGGGGAAATATGTTGCGTGCGCCGATAAGCTAAGGCTAAGCAAGCGCGGCGGCGCGGCATATATATGTATAAAATCGAATGGAATTTTAATAGTCCATTGGAATCAGTCTATCGACAACATATTGTATTAACTAGCCACGTCTCATGGGGATCATCTCATATCCGATCCAGTCGTATCCTGCGCATCCCGTAATTAATTACGCCTGTGTCAGATCAGAAATCTATCAGAGCCTCTAAACTTGACAGCAGTGCCCGCGCCGCACACACTCGCTGGGATTTCGGCAGACCGAATTCCTCGGTGCAGACCGGGAAAACTCTGTGTGTTGGCCGTATTTGTAGCAGCTCGGCCACTAAGGGATCAAATTAGGTATTATTCGATGGTTAACCAAATCTCGCACGTTTAGCAGAAAAACAGCAGCATCAGTAACCGCGACCAGCGGCAAAGAAACGACAGCCGAAACACTGACCGTGCCTCTGTGTGTGCGTATTGCGAACTTGTGCTTTCCATTCAGCGCCGCAGTTCATTCATTACCGATCAAATAATCGTTGAAGAGTATCTCTGCTGCTTCCTCTCATCCCGCCTGTACTAGTCCCATTTTCTTTCTTCCGCCAAAAGCCATTTACTGATTGGTCATCGTGTTCATCGATGGCTTCTGTGGACCAGTAGTCATATGCATTATTTAATGGAACCAGAAAACCAATGCGGCATCCAACCGGTTTTTATTTTGTTTCTCCTGTTGCAAAATATTAACATTTAAAATCCAAGTATGGAGTACTTAATGAAAAATATTATTTAGCTAAAAATATAGTTAGTTTTTGTTAAAAGCGCAACACTTAAAAATAAAACGAATTAAATAAAATAGATCAGTTTATAAAAATTAATTTATTTCTTCTAAATTAATCAGCCAAAGTTAATAGTGGTTTCGTAATCGATCAGCATTGTCGTTTTGGACGCAGTTTCTGTTTCTTATTGAATAAGGGGCTACTACATACATACTTATTAAAGCTGATAAATTGTTGGTAGGATGCTCATTAATGTTAGTAAAACTCTCGGAAGAAACAAATCTACTATAGAATAAAAAAAATAACGAAAAATTGCCGATTGCCGTTTACGAGCGAAATCTGTTTGTAATTTTGGATCTCTACATACTGCAGTACATAGTACAGCACGCGTGGACACACTTTGTTAAGTTTGAAGAGCCACACGTAAGCGGTTGTGGTCGCTATATAATATGTGCAAGAGCGCAGGAGCTATCGTAAAAGTATCGAACAGTAGCAATTGTACATACCCTCAACAAATTGTCTTTTTAAACTGAAATGTAAACTATCCATATTTGCTAGTGCAATGACCATTTGTACGGTTTGCTGAATTACAACACCGAGAAGACCCTTCGATTATCGGACGCTTTGTAGGTCATTGGGACCGCACTTACGAACGCAGCTTAACGCAGTTAACCAGCGATACAAGAACTTCATCCCGTTTATTACAGACTTTGGCAATTTATACAAAGCTCTGCACTTTCGTCGATTGAAAACGGTTATGGAACGTTGTAATTTTATCTAAATTTAAGTAATTGTCGACATTCGTTAAGATTTGAATGCGCATAAAATAAATCTTGCCCTTGCGAGCACTGAATAGTGTTGCCATCCCACCAGATGACGTTAGGCAGTTGTATGCGTGTACAGGAAATCGTGTCATCCGTGCTCATGCATTTTTGATGTATTAATTAACTCGGATTGTGTAACCAAATGTGGGAATATTAACCGGCTTGTAGTTAGATAAACCAGGTGCGGCATGTGAAAACATATTTGAAAAGCGCGCTCTTAAATATGCACAAGTTAATCATAAAATGGTGAGGATTAAGAGGCTGTTCCGGCATTTGTTCTATATGCGGCGTCCTGCTTCTCCAAGCTTAAGTCCTGTAATCCCGTCCCGGATCTCCCTCAGCCCGGTCATTTTGTTATTAACCACAAACTGTAATACCTAAATGCATGTTTCACAATAGCAAATAGTTAGAAAGGTGTAAATACAGCATAAAAACACGATTCACAGAAAAGGTCACAACGGATTATATACCTCCACTGACAGCGGTACAAAACAGTATTCCGGGAGAAAAACGGGACATAAATATGGTGCTTCAACCTTGTTCATTGCCATATACATGTAAGAAATATGAATTGAAATTTGTGTAGTTTTTCAGCTTTTCCGAGATCGCTGGAAATTATTAGTTATAATATATGTAGTAATAATCTGACCTTACGGTAGCTTAAGGTATTAAAAAGTCATACAAAAATACAGTAAAGACGGGCAAGCATCATGAAACAAAACAGACCAGCAATGCAGGTACCGAAGCAATAATGACGAAAAACTGTGTTCAATAGCAATACCTAAAAAATATTAATATAAGGCTTATTTTCTTGGCATAATGATATCTCGTTACGTACCCGGCTAATTACTGCAAAGAACGTGTTGCCTCGGATGTATTTGACCGTACAAAAATTTAAATGGTTCAGAAATTTTAGCTTTTATTTGCGTGCGCACGCACTAAACTTATTTTACCGCGTGCTCGGGAGCCATATTTCACTTTGGTTATCTATAGTGCACGTTACTGCATGAGTAGGTTTTTTAAATACGGATGCCCAATAGTGTTTAACCAACGTAAGTAATGTATACCACCGATCACCGGTGTAGTGCTTTGAAAATATCTATAATTAGGTACAGTACTGAATAGAGTAGTATCAGTCTAAGCGAGCAACCTTTGTCAACTGAGTGATTTTGCATATCGTGACTGAAAAACTGCAAATTGTGCGAATGCTCCTAACTATTAATACAGTAACGTGCAAAAAAACTTAGATCATGTGAAAACTGAATATATCTACACACAGCCAAGTTTGTGAAACTAAATGGGTCTGCTATAAAATCATTCGGGTGAAAACAATGCACAAGCAGCTTGTGCCCACAACAGAGATCTAGCCATTCTGCCAGTGTGTAGCTGATTAAAAAGCACTGTCGTCAGGAATCAGTGATTTTGCTTCCATTTATTAGTTCCTTTTTTCTGTAAGTTGTCTGCTTTATGAGTATTAAACTATGCGATTAACATTGGTGTAAACTATTTTTTTGGCCGTGGAAGCCGGTAGTATATCTCTGCACATAAATAATTTTGAACGTTGTATGACTGTGTGCACAATGCATACCTTGCCAAACCTTAATAAGAAGAAAAAACGACCATTACGTTTACACGTTTCTTTTATCGGATCTGTATGCGGTGTATCCCAGTATTCCCCTGCTTAATTAATTTAATAGAGCTACAGACCTCGCACGGACAGGAACATAAGCGTGCAATCACATACATATTTAGAACCAGTGTTTTGACCGGCAGATAGTTGTAAACTGCTTGCGCTTTTTTGAGCCATAAGACTAGCAACACCAACTTTGATGTCTCAGATTCCATCGCAGACTTCCAACAGCCCTGTTTTTACGGTTGGTGACGTTCCTGGATCGAAGACAAATGCCCGTATTCCACAACCCAGTGGAGAAAATGCTCGTCTTAAAGTTACACGGCTTGTTTTCGACCAACCCAGGTAATATTATAATATTTTCGTTAAGGCTGACGAATAAATAATAATTTTTCTGCTCAAACAAATCTGTACCTGTACTATAAATGCATCCTCTTTACAGTTTTAAAAAATACCCATTAAAGTAAATTTTATATGGAGTAACCGTAACGTAACCTATGTAGAAATTGTAATTAAAGTGATTATTTAGTTTCGATGCCACTTACGGTCTTTGGCAACCGGGGCCACCGTTGACGCCATGGCAAGATTTGCAGAGACAGTGCCGGAAGTTCTGGGCACGCTCGGTGCAAGGCAAACGCATAACAAAACGTAGTGTCTACCGGAAAGTGGTCAACTGGCTGCCTGTGATAGATTGGCTACCTCGTTATGACTGGAGGTCAAATCTGGTGGCAGACTTTGTGGCCGGTAAATGGCATGTGCGAGATCTATTTAATAACTTTTATACTGCAGTTTAGCGTCATGCAAATAACTTTCAATTTATATGGAATGCATGTGCGTCTACCAAATGTATTACGTAGAGAAGTTTCCATACTAATCTTTTGGCATAATTATTTTTAGGTCTAACAATTGGATTCCTAAACACTCCGCAAGGTATTGTACTGTGCTTTTACTGGATTTTCCCATAAGTACTGCAATTTATTCTCATATTTGCAGGAGTCGCCTACGCTATGGTAATTGCATTGTCGCATCATAGGTTTGATCTTCATTTTAGTATTATCGTTTTGACGATGTTACATTTTAGCAGTGGAGGGAGGCAGATATATGGAGTATTACATTGTTTGGTAACACGTTTGCTATTATTTTTATAGGCCACATATACTCCAGGTAAGCTGGTTACAAAAATTGAAGCAAAGAGAAGCTTTCGATGTTGACGGACGGATTCCTCCAACGCAGCATTACGAATTTTTATTTTTGTAGGATTGATACTTGCAGTATTTAATTAAGCGCAGTCAAAGTGGAAATGCTCGTTGCATTTATGCCGTACTATAAAATACTATAAGATGCCTTTTCAGCGGTCACTGGATTATATGTGTCGTTCTTCCCATTGTTGGTCTATTTCTTGATGGCAACGTCGCGACATCTTTCGCTAGGTAAGAAAAAAGTCAGTTATGCAGGAATTGTACAAATCTCGTGTATAGAAGTATACACGCTAGAGCAGTAAGTATTTTGTGAAAATAAAGCTAGGTGCGTAAAGTAATTCTGTTTAGGAACTGATGCAGTAACAAGTGTAATGACCAGCAAGATTCTTAGCCAGCATGCTAAATTTGCGAGGGATGCGAGCACTGGCAATATCATTCATCCTGAGTATAACGAATTACCGTATAATGGATCGGTATACACTATTGCCGAATGGAGTCAAATCGAAATAGCTTCGGCGGCTGGATTTCTTTGTGGAATATGGCAGGTATTAAAGAAATGAAACTCCTTGCTGGGATTCTTAAATATGTACAATACTTTCCTTTAGGTAGCAATACAGTATTGCTACCTAAAGGAATACTTACTCGGCGAAAAATATATATTTATGAACTATCCCTGTATATGCTGCATACACAGTGATTTTACCTTTATGGTTAAACAGTGCACTAAAATGGGTGTTTTGTTGCGTAGTTAGCCTTTGGTCTGATTGGAGCCGGTGGACTTGTTGTTTATTTTTCCGATCAGCTAGTTCAAGGGTTAGTGTAAAAAAAGGCAAACCTAGGTCAAGTTTTTAGAAACATTTAGATATACCCAAAAGGTCATAAAAGCCAAACCGACTAACCGCATTCTTTTGCAGGTTTACTTGCGGAGCAGCGTTTCATGTTTTTACTAGTCAATTACGCTCGGTTTTTGGTGTGAAAGGTCTGCAGGATTACTACGGACCCTTAAAAATCATAAATGTAAATTTCTGGAGTCCTTTATCTGTTGTAAAAGCATGAAAATTCAGTATGGTTTCTAGACGTATATTAATTTCTTCAAAGTTATCGCTACTACACATATTGCCACCTTTATTGTGGGCGCCATTTCTGTCGTTTTCCTGATCGCAGTCAAGTTTGGTATTAATGGCAACAGACGAATTATGGCCGTCATAAAGGTAAGATATGCTAAAAAATGCTCGGATGGCCTTGAATGCATGGCGGTTTTATTAGGTTCCGGTTCCGGCTGAATTGTTTATTGTAATTTTTGGGACGCTCATTTCTTATCTCATGGGTTTGGAAGTCAATTACGGTGTGAGTATTATTAAGAAAATTCCGCTGGGTTTGCCCGCTCCACAACTGCCGGACTTTTCCAAAATGGGCACAATGATTGGCGATACCTTTGCGATATCGGTTGTTTCGGTAAGTGTTACTCTATAAACACACCTGCATATATGGAACCTTATTCCAGTTATCTGGTGCATGATCTATATAAAGTTATAATATGTAAATTTAATTATATTAAGGAAAGGTCACAAAATATGGGTCGTTACAGATGTCCATTAGCATCACACTCGGCTTGTTATTCGCCAGCCGGCACGGATACTCTATAGATCCCAACCAGGAATTCAAAGCGATGGGTCTGGCCAAAGTGTTTGGAGCGTTTTTTCAGTGCTTTCCGTCAAGTGCATCCGTTGCCCGAACCGCCGTACAAAATGATGTTGGTGGCAAAACACAGATTGTGAGCCTCGTCCAGTGCACCATTATTTTAATTGGTAACACTTCATAAATGTGTTTTCGCTTAATGCTGTCACGAAGAAATAAATTTTGGTCTGGTATAGACACAACCAAAAATTAAAACAGTTTTCCAGTAATTATGGTATCCTTGTTTTCATCATTTTATGCAACCTGTACCGTTTTACAACAGTGGTGTTGGCACTGGGCAAATTCTTGGAGCCTTTACCGAAACCTTGTCTCGGCGCGATCGTAATGGTTTCGGTGTTGAAGCTTATGTTCCAAATTGCTGAGCTGTTAACGCTGTGGAAATTATCCTTTGTAGACTGGGTAAGGAGAACCCTAATGCAGACTGTTTTCAGATTTCGACTTGTAAGGTACATTATGTAGGTCTTGTTTTTCAGTCCATATTTTTGGCTGTCTTCATGGGCACCATTATTCTTGATGTCGATCTTGGCTTGGCAGTCGGCGTTGGATGGTCAGTACAGTCTGTATGAATTTAACTAGACCAGAAAACTGAAAATTTTGTCAGTAAAAGAACTATCCAGACAATAACAAATCCACACAAAAAATTTTGGAATGTTTATAACGGGAACTGTGGCTACAGGTCAATCGCCACCGTAATGCTTAGACTGCAGAAACCAAAGGTCGGACCATTAGGTCGCCTTCCCGGCACGGACATCTATCGGCGAGCCGATGTGTATCCATCGGTAAATTTTCTACAATTGCCTAGATACATAAATATATTGCTAATCTTACACAAAAATACTTTTAGGCTGTTGAAGTGCTAGGTATTAAAATTGTTCGCGTGGACGCCCCAATTTACTTTGCTAATGCCTCTTATATTAAACGTCGCTTATACGCCTGGGCTGACCTTAACAACATCATTAAGCAGTACCGTGAAACCAAAGAATACGCCACCACACAGGAGACCGAGCCAGAAAATCTGCATAATTTTGCGTTCACCAATAATATCACCACGGTAGACGAAAATGCCGATGTGGAAGAAGACAAACAGCGACGTATCAGCCGCATGAGTGTCAGCGGTCCCACGTTGACCACCCAGCGCAGCTCGGGGTCACGCCGCATGAGTCTGTTCAATGTTAAACGCTTGGTACAGCCCAATATCGATATGGAAATCCTCAATGACGTACGCCATAGTTATCAGAGTCAGACGGAAAGTGATGAAACACTGAGTATGGCGGAGATGGTACCGATTAAACATTTGATTATTGACTGCTCGGAGATTTGCTTTGTTGATGTCACCGGGGCGGGGTTTCTGAAGAAGTGTGCTACAGAATGCGCGGCGGTTGATGTAGAATTAGTACTGGCATGCACCACAAGTAAGTCTGTTATTGAGTAAATTCATTGTGTAAAATTTATTACAAGTTGTGTTCTCTTGAAATTCTGCAGAGGCTGTTCGGGATATGCTGGACCTTTGTGGAGTATCGGAATACATTAAGCCGCATCAGGTGTTCGTGACCTTGCACGATGCTGTACTGTACGCACTGAACATCCAACGTCGCAGCGGAACAAACAGTGCCGCCTTGAACGTATGTGTCCATTTTCAAAACTTGTATCAATGTCGTTACGTAGATTTTAGCCAGTGATGGAGTGCTGTCCACGTTAGTTGTTATTAAATAATTATATGGACTTTTCCCACGCTGACCGTCAAAAAGCAGTCGCTTGTTGGAAGCAAATACAGGATCACTGTGAGCAGTGTGAATTATGTAATTCTTTACAGATGCACAATACACTGCTTCGCCTCAACACCGAAGAAGCTAAAGATCTGGTCTTTTTGCCTACCACTCGAACTCACGAATACGTTAACAAAGCATACGAAAACACTCATGAATTGTAACTCGGCTGCTCGAGTCGATATGGATGCTTCTATGGTTGTTCACACAAGCTGTGCAAAAACCGCAAAATTGCAGTTTATAACCGTTTTAATTACGTTGTGCCTTGCTGTTACAACAGCTGTGAATATCTGCCTTGGTTAGGAAAAACATTGGTGGTATCTTAAATAACGGGAAATGCCAATTTTTTTGCAGTTAGATTAATTCAATGGAAACGACAAAAAAATTCGAATAAGCGGTAACGCTGTTGTAAAAAATGCAGTTTGGTCACTTTTCAAAGAAATCAGTAAGTCACACTTAACGTATCACTTTTTAGTATCAAAACAGTGGCCAAGTGCAATATGCCAAAAAGTGGATTAAACCCGAAGGCAAATCAAACGTTGGTACACATTAGATCGTAATAATTGTACGGCCTTAACTTCCAGAAGCACAAACTACTCATAGTGATAACAACTAGGAGTGTGATATCAATTTCCTTGTATACTGACTGACAGTCACGAGCATGTATCCAGCGTTTTATGGTGGTCGTATTAGAAAATAATTAGCATAACTGTGCCTGTTTGGCCATTATACAGTGGAGGTCAAGAGTTGTCAGCAGCGTTGATATTTATGGAAACCTGATTTATCCCTTACATTATGCCGCAACCTATTCCGCATGCGGCCAGTGTGCCCGTTTTTACAGTCGGTGACCAAGAAGCACGCACCGGGAATATACCATTAGTATCCGGTGACGCTCGGTTGAAAGTTTCCCGTTATGTCTACGACCAACCTACGTAAGAGCAAGCTACGTAATTCAACTACCGAGTGAAGGTTGTATTGCCATCCTTAAGCACCTTATGAAATTTACAGAATTATAATAATTATTACATTACAAAAATTTATAAGATTTGCGTGTACTTTACTGCAGCCCGTAAGCAAGTTACCAAAGGTTATGGGTGCAACCCTAACACGACCACATTAGCGGACAGAAAATATATCATTTATCATAATATTACTAAACTAACAGGTATCCAATCGAACTTGCACCGTGTACGATGACGTCACGGTAGGGGAGACGATCAGTGTGTCGCAATTGACCACCCCTGCGGGTTTTGTGTTTATCAAAACTTTCAGTTTCGTACAATCCGCTCGTACTATGGCTCAAAAAATGCAGAAAAAATTTTAAGTTTGTGAAGTGAAAGTAGATAAATAAAAAATTGTCAGATAAACGAAAATTTTATGACTTATGTAACAGATAAGCACGAGGAGATCACGAGTGATGCTTTATTGACAAATAAAGGGGAGCAATGCTGCGTAATAGCAGGAAAGCAAGAACATAGCCGTGATGGCCAAGCAAGTGTGTGCTAGAAAAGCTCTTGAGCGTCCGTCAAGGCGTGAAAAAAGCAACTGGCGGCAAGCACGTGCTGTGTGCCATCAGCTGTGTGATGATGCGCAGACTGGACTCTATCCAACGCGAGCGTATGAACGCTGAGTCATACTGCGAGAGAGGAACGAGAGAGCAAGTGTGGCTCAGTGTATGCTGCGTATATCCGCTTCAGCGGATGAGTGCAGTGCAGCAGCACACGTACGTACAGCGAGAGAGGTGGTAACGGCAAGCAATGGTGCAAGTACGTCCTGTGTGGACCGTACGCACCAGGCGCAGTCGTACGCCTCTGACATGCCTCTGGGCGGGAATCCGAGCTCCCGCGAAGGATGCTCCGACTCGGTACCGCACCAGTACCGCACGACTCTCCGGTCGGACCCATGTGGGGTCGCCGGTACGCGTCCTCTGGCAGTGGGAGTCCGGTGTCTGGTCGACCGTCCCTTCTTCACTTCCGAACCCATGAGTGGAAGCCACTCACGGCCGGGAAATCCGGAAGCCGCTCGGGCGTTTCGTTGGACCGGTGATGCTTCTGTTGGCTGGCTTCTTGCGTCTGTTGGCAGCGGAGAACAATGTAAAAAAATGTAATGAAAGTTTATGCAGCGCGAAAGAAAGTAAATAAAGTTTAATCACAATTCCAGTGAGCAAAAGGGGTTACAAAACAGATCTGTCAAAGAGATCGAACTAGAAAAATACAATTCCGTTTGTTAGGAGAAATGCTAGAAAAATGCAAAAATCTGTCCGGGGGTCCTATTCCGACTAGGATGACGTCCACGGGGCGATTGAGTCTCCACGGGGTCTCCTGTCCACTTTCGTCCGGTAAAGTTGGGTCCAGGGCATCAGTTCCCGGGCTACCCGTCGTAACCGGTTACATTCACCGAGGTCGGATAAGCACGGTTAAACACTTACTTCCGACTCGTATCCGTCCGTTCGGGATAGAGAGGCACTGTTGCTGATGCAAATGCCGAGGCATCCTCTCTGGATGGGGAATAGGACCAAGGTCGGTTTGACCAAGGTCGGCCTACCGATAAGTCGATCGGCGGCTAAGGGGAATTCGGCTATGTTCCGAATTCTGAAAGTTCAGGTCGGAAAAAGCTGTATGTAAGTCATGCGGCCTTTGTGGTCGTCATGCACAGCAGTTCCGTTTAAAAGTGGTCGGTTACAACCGTTTAATCTGCTACCACGAGCCTGGTTTGGAGTAATCCGAGTCGAACTGGCTCGAAGGTCCGATCGGAAATCATGAGTTTGTTCGGTGGAAGCGTCCGGTCGACTTCCATCCGGTATATTCCGTTGTTATCCGACCTTCTGTCGAGGTCGGTCATCCTATCCGTCGGTGGTCGACTAGGGTTAACCTGCAATAACATGCCCATGTGGGGCTAAATAAGTGCCTTCAGGTCGGATTCATCCACCGCGAAAAGTGATCAATCGTCTTCGGTCATGTTGACTGGGTCTCCGACTTCCGACTTGTGGTCGGTTATGGTCGACTTCGGAAGGTCGGATGAACTGTGTGTTCATCCGTCCGAAGGCTAAGTTTTTCCGTCAGGAGGTCGGTTCTCGACTTCCAAATGCCTTTGCCGACTTGTTGTCGTATCCTTCCGACTTCTATTCGGTCACTTCCGACCTTCATTCGAGGTCGGCCATCCATGTCGGGATTCCGAGGTCGGCTGATTTCCGACTTCTTCGAGTCGGATGAACTGTGTGTTCATCCGTCGAAAAGGCAAAATTCTTCGGCTGGGAGGTCGGTTTTCTACTTCTGATGGGTTTTCCGACCTGTTGTCGTGTACTTCCGACCTCCGTTCGGAAACTTCCGACTTGCTTTAGGAGTTCTGTGCGTACGGCTACAGTCGACCGGGTTTCCGTTGTTCGGATATCCTACTGTCAGTTCAGACTGGCAGAAGGACATTCAGCAGCACAACTCCGTTTCTCCTGTGAACTTTTCCGACATGAACTTCTAGGTCGGATCCGAGCTACTGTTGGCTTGTTGATCCGAATGACTTGCCTCTGGGCCGCCGAGTCCTGCGAAGTAGGAGTTTCCTTGGCGTCTGTTGGCCGAGTGACTGGCGCTTCGTCATGCGATTGTGCTCGCTTACAACACTAAGGGTCTTTGTGGCCCCGGTTGACAAGCCAAGCTCTTTGGTTTAAAAGCTTCATGCACATGCAAGTCCCTGAGGTTGTCAGATCCAGTTCTTCCATTTTGTTTTGTCGCGAACCTGAGACGCCTAGCCGCTTCTGTTGGGGGTAGACAACTCAGGTCCACGGGGAAATTTTCTTTGCCGGTGACGTTAGCCAACTGGCCAGTACTGTTGCGGGCAGGTGGTCATCGTCATCGGGGGTTCGTTAAGGGTGCCGGCCGAGTGTTCTAACTCGGTCTGCCTAAGGTGTTCCATTGAAGACATGGGGGAGCAGGTCGCGGCGGAGTCGTTGGAGTGGCGGCCAAATCACCGTCGCTGTTCCTCTTCAGGTAATGGCAGCACGTTCGAGACGCGCGTAGTCGTGGTCACCGGTGAATCGGCTGGTTTACCCGATATCGTCCGGGGGAGACTGCGGTTGGACTCCGGGTACAGGTTCCTAGTTGAGTTCCTGTAGATCTGGGTTCAAACGGAGAATCGGTCAAGTACCACGTGGCTACTGCTTCCGTTCATTCTTCATGGCGACTTCTGTTGGCCGTTATGGTCGACCTGTGTGGTCGGCCATAATGTCGATTTCTCGTTAGTCGGCTACCGTATACTTAGTCGATCTGTGTGATCGGCTAAGGTAGCAAGTCGTAGTTCGGCGATCATGCATCGTTGCGATTCCGACTTCAACTCTCTGAACAATCTGTTCCGAGTTTTCCAAAACCGATCTTTGTGATCGGCTTGCACAACCGACCTTTGTGGTCGGCTAGTGCCGCGATATCTGTTATATCTCCAAGTTATGAGTGAAGTACGAAGTCGACCTTTGGTCGCTCAAGTACGTATAGTCAAATCCGAGTCTTCCTGCACTGTTGGCAGCTCGGCCGAGGGATATCCGCTATTTACACTGGTGAAGGCTGCTCGGCTACCCGGTTCCGAAGTTGGCCACGGGTGCTCGGCAAACATGGCGGTGAACACGCAGCGACGTATTCAGCGCCACGTTAGCGTAATCCTCTCGGTCTATGCTCCGGAGTCGGTTGGCCGGAGTAATCTTCATAGCCGGTCGTGGTTAATGGTGTGATCTGTACCATGTAACTATCGGTCGGCTCCATGTAACGCGGATTGGGGCTTCTGTTGGCTCCGATGGTCGCAGAACGTGGTTGTCGATCTGCTATGTTAGCAGATGTGGTTCACGATCTGTTCATGCCATGCTGGGGGAACTGAGGTCGGTTTGCTCAGTTCTGTCCAGGGATTCCTCGGGAGACGTACCGGAACGGTGGAAAAACCGGTTTGTCAGGTCTAACCATCCATGTCCGGGTCAAAACCGAAGAATCCGGCTGACTTGTGTAGTCAGCATTCTGGCAAAGTCATCGTTGACTTCCGCTGTATACATGGTTTGGTCGGTTTCTGGGGAGAGAAAACTGAAGAAAAATGTCCATTCCGGGGTCGTTTCTCGACGGTGCCATTTGTCCGTTAGACTGGTTCTCAGTCAGGTCGGTTCTCGACCGTGCCGTTTCTCGGCGTTAAGTCCCTCGGTTTGTTCGAGTGGGGATCGAGTTCCAATGTGGGAACTCGATCTTAATTGAGTGGGACTTCGACGGGTTTGTCGCCGCCGAAGTAATCATCTTCATCTTCATCATCCGGGCCAGGTCGGTTGTGTGGCCGGATAGTCGGATCCTTGGGTTTACAAGTCGCCGGGCCACTCCGTTGAGACATCTCGTCGGTCTCATCCGTTTCTTGGCCAGGGCGATCCGCTCTGCCTTTCCTCGATTCCCTGGCCGCCTGTTTGCGGAGCCGCAGCGCATACGGTCGTGCGCCGGGTGCTATGTCATCCGACATCTAAGGTTCGTAGGGCGATGAGTTAAATCCGCTAGGCAAAGTCTTGTTTTGTCGGTACCAGCTGATGAATCGGGTCGCGTCGTCGCTGAGATCTACGTGATCCTCGCGAAAGGCATACTTTGTCGCATACCGTTCGTGGGTGTACAGCAGGTCGCGCATCCAGATGGCGAGGATAACACTTCTCATTGGTGTGCCGAGTTGGGCGACGAGGGTTTCCACAGCCGCTGGTATCATTTCGTTCTGGTATAGGCCGTACAGGGTGTAGTGGCAAAAGTAATTGCCGAGCCGAGCTGCGAAGATAAATCGCAGGAATGCTGTGACTCCGTCCTGGGCCATGTCGACTTCCCCTTCTGGAAGGTACTGTGTTAAATCCAGTGCTGCCCGAGCCGCGGTTATTACGAAGGCTGGGTGGGCGTCCGTGATGACGAACTGGGCAATACTCTCCAACTCATCATGGGGGTATTCCCGAGCTCCTAGTTGGCTCGCACGCGTCCCGTCCGGGCTGTAAAGTGGTACATTCAGCAAGACCGGGTCGGTCATCGACGGTAACGCATTCGATCTGGTGTACGGATGTTCAACATTCTGTGCTGTGTGCGCATTCATGTTGAAGTCCGGTTGCCACTGATGTTGTTCCAGTAACGTCTGGTATCCAGATCGGACGAGGAATTGACGGAGGTTTTCTACCATTCGCCAAATTTGTGGTCGATTCCGTTCCTCGTAATTCATGACGTTCATAATGTGGTTTGTCCGTTCGGTGGGATGTAGCATGACGACCTCGATTCCTTGTTGTCGAGCGCGGTCATAACGAGGGTCTTCTCGGATCGGCACTTCTACTTGTGGTAGTTGCGCCATCTGGTCGGCTACTTCGACGTCCATTTGTTCTGGTTGAGCTGCCAGTTCAGCTGGGACTTCGGCCGCCGGTTCCGCCTGATGGGCTTCCGGCTGCTGTTCGGGTGGGACAAAGTTACGTTTCGACTTATTTGTTAAGTCGACCGTGAGTCCGATTCCCGTTTCTCCAGATCCAGTCCGTTTTCCTGGTGGAGGTCTGGTCGGCTCTTTTCCGACTTGGCGAATGACTGCGCGTTGCTCTTCGATTCTGTCTCGAAGATCGACAGGACCAATCCTGTGTCGGAGGTCGTGTCCCGCTAGGTTTTTACTCGGTCGGCGCTGCTGCTGTTGAGTTGCCGGTTGAGTCCGAGTTCCATGGGTTCCATGTTGGGGAATCTGCTGGGAAACAGTTGGGCGAGCCTGTGTAACTACTGGCGTTGCCCTGTGTGGGATTGCCATCAACTGTTCCTGGGTCGCCGGAGTAAAGGTAACCGGCTGTTGGGTTCCGTCCGGCATATTCATTATCATTGTCACCGATGCGCTAGTCATTGGTCGGTGTGGGTCTCCGACGAAGACGTCTCGTACATCGTGGATGAGCTGTTCGCTATCCGAGCGACCCTGTGTGGGTGCCGGTAACCGAATTTTTATCTCTGGTTCATAGTCGGTCGGTGGGGGATGGACCTTCATCGAGGCGATTCGTTTGTCGACCTCTCTGATCTTCTTCTGGTCCTCCAATTGACGGTTAGCGTCTTGCAGCTGGCGGTACTCCCACAGTCTATCCGTTAAGACTGGTGGCCGGGTTCCTTCCCATCTCGGGTCGCGGGTTACGTTGTCGCTGGATGGTAGCCAAATTGTCCTGTTCATGCGACTCTAATTGGTTGACGAGGTATTCTCTGCCGGCCAGGTACCGATATGCGCTCAAGTTACCAGCGACAACATTAATGTAAAGTGCCGCCGCCTGAGCTCGGTGTTGCGGTCCGGTGCCGGGAACCCGTTCATTTGTGAAGGAGACGATACACTGCGCGCAAGGCAATCTGTTGTTGTCCCTCGTCGCGTTATCCCCGCACTGTTGGCAGTCCACCGTGTAAGCTTCCGTTCGAGTCTGTCAAAACAAAGGTAAGCCAACCGTTTCTCGGTTGTGTCCTATGATTTACACCCTATAATTACTACGGTCGGGCCAGGTCGGTTCTCGAGCTGGTCCCAGACGCCTTTGTGGTCGTCTAATGAGGTAAGTCGACTTCTGTTGGTCGATGACGCCTGTGTGGTGTCAATGGAGGGAGGTCGGTTATGCCTCTCCTCCAACGCGTTCTGCGTTCCCTCACTCCCGTGTAGGTGCTTCTGTCGGCTCCGGCCGACTTGCTTGGTGCGAGTCGGTCAACTCGGTCGGTTGTGCCGAGGTGGATCGTTCCTTCGGTAAGTGTCCGTGCCGGTGAGTTGATGGGTTTAATGCGATGAACCGTTGGCCGCCCTGGACTTTATCGGTGTTTGTGGCAAATCTTTGTTGGTAGAGTGCCTTCGATAGGACGAATTCCAATTCGTCTTCCAGGGAATACTTCTTGCGTCCGGCAGTTACGTCCGGTTTAGGCTTGTATTTGGGGTCGACCAACTGCGGTTCTGCTGCTGTCCACTCGAACTCGAACCGTGCTGTAAGTTGGTGGAGTATTTCTCCACGGGTAAGTCCGTCGGGATGCCAGGACATTTCCATACACGCTTCGATGGCGTGTGTCCATCCTTCATATGTTGAAGGGGCCGGGTCCTTTTTAGCCGGTGGGAACTCGTAGTACATCCGCTTTGTGCTGGTGTACGTACGTATTATCTTCCCGGCATGGTATCCCAGGTCGCAGTAATGTCGCACGTTATTCTGGCTAAGTTGTCGCCAGTCGCCCTTCTCGTCTACCTTCCAATGTTGGAGGAGTTTGAAGGCGATTCTTGGTGTGGCGAATTTCGGTCCACGTGTAGCCAAGGCCTTCAGGGCGGCGAATGTGTACATCCATCAGGCATCGTATTCCGATACACTCGGCTTCGGTTTTGAGGCCGATTTGATGCCAGTATATTTGACCCTAACGTTGGTCAACGGGGGAATGTCGTCCGGCAACACTTCCATGGTGTCCTCATTCCATTCGGAGAGAAGTGGCCGCTCGTCAGTGTCAGGAGTTATCGGTATCCGTTTACCGTACTGACGAGGGATATATACTCCACCATCGTCTTCATTGCCTTTGGACTCTTCAGCTTTGTCGCTGCTGTCCTTCTCTTCCGGTTGTCTATCCGGTATCTCCGGTTCGCCCTGCTGTTGGGGTGCCGGGTTCGACGGTGGTGGTGGTTTACCATTTTCGTCGTCGTCATCGTCATCGTCTTTCGGCGATCCGTTCCCAGGTGTTTGGAAATCGTCGTCGTCATCATCTTCGGTTTCTTCCTCGGATGACGAGGTCGGTTCCGATGACTTCGGCTCTTTTTCTTGGCCGGCTTAGTCGACTTCGTCTTAGTCGACTTTGACTTTCCTTCTGTTGGGTCAAGTCTTCCGGTTCCGGGAAATTTCCATGGGCGAGGACGGCGGGAGTGATTGTACGTCCCTCGGAATGAACCGTCCTTTCGCGCTCCTAGTCGGTTTTGCCGTACTTGCTCGTCCCCCTGGAGCTGCTGCCGTGCCGACATATGTTGTCGGTTCATGGGGTGCTCGAGGTCGGGGTAAGACTTGGACTCGTCTTTGTGACGACTGTCCAGCCGTACGAGCTATATGCAGCAAGGCGGCTGCATCGTCCGACGGTTGTTCGTTGGAGTCGCTGTATTCTTCGGTCGGTTCCGTACCAGCCGGAGGCTTGTCCGTGTTGACATAAGACATCCGGAGGTTAAACTCACGCCGATGTTGTTCCGGTATGAAGTTAGGCACGGTATACCGTACCGGTACATCTCGTTCCGCGTTAGTCGTCTGAAGGGTGTGTTGTTCGACCAAGGACGTAATCCGGTCGCTTATCCTATTGATGATGATGTCGTCGATATTCCCCTTCTTGTCCATGTACATCACGTTATATACACGGGCGATCTGGACCAAAGTCGATCCACGGGGATTCCGGATGTATCCGATACATCGTGCAATTCTAGTCGGTGTATCGTCCGCATTCCTGGCGGCTGCACTTTTAAGTGCTTTGATAAGGTCCGGTGGGAGCAGTTCGGCCATCCGTCCCCATTGTCGGTGAACGGCTACTGCTAATCCGAAATCCAAAGTCCAGGCGACGATCTGCATCATGAGTTGATGCGTCAACCATTTTCCGGTTTCGCCTCCGACTTGGATGTTGTTGGACAGGTCTCGGACCAAGGACTGGTAAATGTCCACGCCGTTTTTCCTGGCGTTTTCGATGCTCCTGACAATTTCGACGTGTACTCGGACGGTACGGATTAATGTATCGACCGGGTCATCCGGCTGTTCGTCCGGAAGACGCTCGCGCGCATCGTCTGGGGCTGGCCACTGTGATTCATCAGTGTCCGCTCCATGGTCGAACATTTCTTTCAGGTCGCCCTTAAATCCTTCATAAGGATCACCTTCTCCATGGTCGGAGATTGAGTCCTTTTCCTCGATGTCCGAGATCTGGTCGGATTCTACGTCAGACTGTTGCTTAGATGTGGAGGGCTGGGGTTGTTCGATCGGAGTCGGCGGTTTTGGTGGGTTCCGTAGCCGACCTCCTGAAGTCTTAGCCGGCTTTGTGCCGGTCCGCTCCATGACTTCTTTGAATTTTCGCTCAACCGCATCCTTGTCGTGCGGTTGTTGAGCTTTCTCCTTTTGCTCGGTCCTTTGTGGGCCGGCATCCGAAATATCCAAGTCATCGGATGACTTGTGCCGCTTGGCCGGATTAGGCTTCGGCGTCTTTACCGTAGAGTCCGACTTCGGTTTGGTCGTCTCTTTGGCCTCCGGCTTTACTGGTTTCTTCTGAGTTTCCGTCGGTTGCGGCTTAGCGGTTGTTTCGCTGCTTCCTTCTTGGCCTTCCGTTTATCCTTGTGGGATTTCGCGGAATTGGCCGAGTTGATGACCTGTGTCCAGATCATCGTTGATCTGGACGGAAGGTTGTCTGGTTGGAGGAGGACTTTCATCTTGACGGATTGCTGTGCCGTCTTCTTGGTCGACTTGGGTTCCGAAGCGGTGACCTTGTGTGGAGTCGGCGTAGCCGCTTGTAGGGCTTTAGGTCGACTCTTTTCCGCTCGGTAATGTTCTCCCATACGTTTCATAACGTCGGCCATCTTCTCGGTAAGCCGGTCGTGGTCACGCCGAGCTTCTGTGGTGTTTCCGAGTATGCTGGCACGTCGGATTCTCAACGAGTGCCAGAGTTCCCTATCCTCCGGATATGCCATGTCGATGCAGGCATCCTGTTCCGACCTTGTCAAGTCCTTCACATGTTGTAAGGCTGGGTCGTCATGGAATTCGCGCGATGAGTCCTGAGGTGGTTTCTCCTTAGCCGTACTCCGTTTGGTCGGTATGTTTACCGATTCCTTTGCCGACTCGTTCGTTCGAGACTCGTCAATTGTTAGACGTGGGCCGGAGTGTATCGAGGTCGGTTCGTCCCTTTGTGGTGACGTTTCGACCATGGTTTCGACTCGCGCTTCCGAAGGGGATGTTGTGTCCATCGCGTCTTCGGTTTTCTTCGGTTTCGTCGGAGTGTTCCGAGGTGTAAACCTGAGTGGTTTTTCCATTGTCGGTTGACTCGGCAGCTTAGTGGGCTGGGATGCGGATCGGGTCGGCGAAATTTGTTTCACCGGCGATCTGCCTCGTTCCGGCGTGGATCCCTTCGGTGGTGCCGCTGCCTTCTGTTGAGTGGAGTCATCGGAGTCAACGTTGTCCGCATTCTCCTCATCTTCACTACTATCCAACATTGTTATCGGAATCTTCTCGGTAACCTCTTCTCCGGGCCGAGGTTGGATTTCCAGCGTGTAAGCACCCGGGTTGATGCTCGGATTGCGGAGCCGTTGAATTGTCTGGATCATAGTCGGATCCAGCGGGAGCTGTCGTAACTCCTGCTTTCCGCATCTCAATGTTACCAACCGTCTCAAGACTTTGTCTCTGTCCTGGATCGTAGCATGGATCTTCTGGGCCGTCTGAGTCTGTTGCTCATCCGTCATGGTCCGATCTCGGATACCTCCTTGAAGTTGTGCTTCGTAGAGTATCCGTTGAAGATCCAACGTTTTGGCTTGGCTGACCAACTTCTTATGGATGCCGAGGTGAATAAAGCCTTCGCTCCCATCACTTTCCGTGACGGGCTCGGCTTTCGTCAGCCGGTGGTGGGAAGACGGAGTCGCCTTCAGGATTTCCAAGAGTCGTTCCTTGGTCCTGACTGGTGATGGCGACTTTGACGGGAAGAGACGCCTGCGTGGGCTGTGCTCTTCAATGTTGTCCGTCAATTTCGGCTTCCTAACAAGTTTCGGTGAATTTGATCCACCAGGTTGGAGGACGAGTCGACCGTCGGGTGTTCGTTCACTCTGTGGTTCTCTTTGTGAGAGCCCGAGTGACGTTGTCGGTCGTTCCAAAGGTTTAGGTCGGGTTACTTCTGTTGTTCCGACTTCCTCCGAAGTATCCATCGGTTCATCCTCGCCTTCAAGTCCAGGTACCGGTACTTCGTCCATCGGCTCGTCTTGGTGACTCACCGGTGGAACTACCTGTGTCGGTTTGACAGGTTGTACCTTTGGTTTTTGGCGGAGGGCGGCTCTTCGGCTTTACGTTGCACTTCCGCTTCCTTCCGCTTGTAGAAGTCGTCTACGAAGGACTGAATCATGGCCGTCAGGTTTGCAGCCGTTCCTGATTCTTTACCGACCACACTGTTGTTGGTCGGAGGATAATCGGGCTTCCTTGGCGTTGTTCTCCAAGTGTCCGAGATTGATATCGATCTGACAGTATTGCGGACTCCGTTGGTCGGTCTCGTCCATCATCTTCCGAAGTTCGACGATGACAGCGTCCGCTCGCAGTAACTGTGTGTTGACTGCTTTTACCCATTCAAGGTCGGGTTTGGCTGGCGGGGCTGGAGGTGGAAGTCGGACAGAATCGAAGCTCGGTTTCCGAGCCGACTGGATCTTTGTGGTCCGAGACGGTCGACCTTCAGTCATGGCGTTTGTTGCCAAGCTGGTCGATTCCTGTTCTTGTCCTGTTCTTCTCTCCTCGTATTCGTTCACCCTTGTTTCCAACCATGAGGTCGTTCGGATTAGGTGTTGTCGAGTCCTCATCGTTTGTGGGGCGTCCGGATGACATAGTCGTCGTATAAACCGGGCATTGTTTCCCCACGCCAAGATGTCTCGATCCAAATCGTTCGCTTCTTGGCTGTTATCTTCGCAGAAGTTTCTGCGGGCCCTCATCTCTGTGATGAGTTCCGCTACTCTAGCCAATAGTTTGACTATATGTGGCGCGACCGTACTCGGCAGTTCATCCGTGTCCGGTATGGCTTCCATGATTCGGGCTTCCGTGGCCGGAGACATGGGCCGGTCGGCCATTTCCATCGGTTTCAGTTGGGCCAAGCCTGCTGTTGAGGTCGGCTGAGGTTGGATCCGAGCTGTTGTCGAAGTCGGCTGACTCGAGGTGTTCGGCTGTTGCGAACCGGGTGCGTGTTGTTCCGCTTTCCGTTGTTCCTCGAGTTCCTTTCGCCGTAAGATTTCGAGGTCGGTTTGCACGTCCTGAATGTGCATCTGAGAGACTCTAATTTGGTCTTCGATTGCCGTCCGGATGTTACGGATGGTCGGATCTGTTCCGTCCATGTTGTCAACTTGACGTTGCAAGCTGTCGGCAATCCTTTGTGTACGAGCCAACTTGTCGTTAAGGGCTTCACGCTTTTCTGCCAATGTGGGCTCGAGCGGTTGTTGTGAAGCAGTCGGCTGCGGCTGAGTGGAAGTCGGCTGAACCCTTTGTGGGTTAGCCTCTAAGATCTTCCACAAGTCTTCGACCCGCCTGAGCAGATGCTGTACTGCTGATCCAAGGCATCGCGCATTTGCTTCTCCATGGCGTTATTCGGGTCGAGCTCCGGAGTTGTCTTCCGAGCTTCTCCATGACGTCGACCGCTTCTCGGTACTGGTTCTCAGCTTCACCGATGTCGACTGCCTTTTGGTTCGGCTGCCTCGGCGAATGGATGTTCGACGTCCAGTCCAGGTGATGGGACTGGAGGGTATTTTCTCACGAACTGGTACTGGCGCTCCCGCTTTGTTCGGGTTTGCCAAGTACTGTTTGACATGATCGATCACCGACTGAAGTGCTTCAATTAGCCGGTCCCGGTTCGGACCTGGCGGTGGGATTCCCATGAGCCTAGGTATCGGCCCAATCCAACTCGAGTCGTAGTCCTCGGTCGATCCGGGTGAGGTCGGTTTCCTCTTGTTCCGTTCAGGGTTCCACTGAGCCGGTGGTAAAAGATGTCGGCTAAATCCTGTCCGGCTTGGTAGACTATATCCAAGTTACCGGTTAGGTTTTCCATTGGTGTCGTGCCGACTAGAGTCATCACCGCTGTCGTAGTCGGTGCTGCTCGGCGAGGTGGCGACGGCGTGGCGATCCGAGTGTACTCGGGTTCCGCGTTGAGGATCTCTGTGATCCGCTCAACTACCGACCTGAGTTGTCGTTCGTCGACTTCGGTCGGTTCTTCCTTGCGGAGTAAGTCGTCTGCCTTCTTCAAGTAGGCCGTCAGGTCGTTCATCTTCTGCCGTGCCACTCTCAGAGTTTCGCCGTCCGTTGGCGTATTTTGCACGAATGTTCGCTGGAGATCTTCCAGTAAGTCCCATCCATCGCTGATTATGGAGGACATCTTTTCCCTGCGGCTTTTCCGCATTGCCGAGTGCATCTCCGCCGCCGATGAGGTCGACGGTAATGCGTCCAAGGTTTCCGTGTCAGAGTCCTGTGGTCGGTGTTGACCCCGTGACTCTGGTCGGCGTTGGCTTCGGCTATATTCCCTAGCTGGTTTATGCCATTCATTACGAATTGAAATGAACTCCCGGTTCGACCGTGCCTGGTTGTATCAGGTTCCTCACAAGTTGTATGTGAGTGGCGAACTCGGAAGTTATCCTCTGCACGTTCGCTCGAGTCCTCTTTCGGCGCGTTGCTGAATCCGTTTAAGGGTGTCTTCCGCCTCCTGTATAGCGGATCCCGCCGTAGAGGATTATCCGGTCGGATGATGGAGATTTCGCCGTTGACCTGTGTGGTCGTCGGCGGAACGATATGATATCGGTGAAGTCACGACGGCTCCCGGTATTAACGTCGTCGGTTGGACGTTATCCGTCAGTAAGGACGGAAGTTTCTCCGCCGAGATAGCCGTCTTCACCTGATCCATAACTGTTCGGAGTCGGTGTTTGTCCACCTCTGTGGTTGGCAAACCGTACCGAGTAAGATCTTCAGTTAGCCCTATGGGCTATGAGATCGTTAATTTTCCGAACTGGATCGAATTCGGTGGAATCTCGGATTCCGTCGGCTATGCGTCCGTAGATTCCTTGGAGGGCTTCTTTGCCATCGAGGATGGTTTTCCAGACTTCTGTCGTCTGGTCATCCTGTCCGATCTGAAATGCCATCGCATGGTACCGGGGCTGGGGAACCTGTTGTTCGGCTCCTCCTGTTTGGCTCTGGATTATCTGTCGAATCCTCCGGTAATGCATGTTTAGTCGAACGACCTGATCATCTGTGGTTATGCCGCCGTCCTGTTCGGCAAGTCTGCGGGCGATCCGTAAACTCCGGTAAAGGTCGTTTACCAACGCTGCTCTGTTGGTTACGGCGATCAAGTCTCCGCCTTGCGTCATCCTCACTTCGTCGAGGATTCGATCTCCCGTTCGGATAGCGGCCTGTACCTCTGCCAATGTGGGCATTTGTACAGCTTCTGACCGACGTTCGGCTGCGTCCAAGTTCTGGGCGAGCTGTGGGTACAGGTTAGCTCGGTTCTGAGCGTTCCGTATCCTGTTCCGGATTGCGTTCAGTAATTCCAGACTTGTCGGCATTCCGGTCGTTAAGTAAGACTGGAGTCCTGACATGAAGTCGCGGATGGCTTTTCTGTGGCTATTGAGGTTCATTGCCTCGGTAGTTCCCTGCCGGTGTATCTTCTAATACTGTCCATCCGACCTGTGACTATTGTAGCCATCCGCAGAAAATCCCGCAGCTCCTGCAGTGTTGGGAGCGGTTCAACGGTGGCCCTTGTGGGGTCTGCTGTGTCGGGTTCACTTGTAAGGCCGGAACTTGGATTGGTAATAATCCTTGTACGTTCCACGTCATCATGGGTGGAGGTTGGCTCTTTGGGACGACTGGTTGGGTCGTCGTCGGCTGTAGGGCTCAGATTTCGTTCTCCTTCTCCGTCAACTTCTTAGTCCAATGCTCGATCAGTCCGGTATTACCCAGAACGGTTTCAGGGTAATGTTCCTTAGTTGGGTCGAGCGGCCAGGCGCTTCTACTTCATTTATTTCGTGAAGATATTCTGCGCTTTTGCGCTAAAGCGTCCAGCCGGGCTAGTCGGATTTCTTCATCAATCACCGCCTGTGTGGTCGGTGCTGATATTCCGACGAGCGCAAGTTTTGTTCTTGTGCTCGTATCCACTTTTCCGAGTCGGCTGCAATGTCGACTTGTTGGTCTTCCTGTCGGCGTATTCTGACGGAATTCGGCCTCGTAATTGTCCGTGTTCCGAGGAGGCGTGCCATGACACTCTTAGCTTTACGGCCTCTTTCATGGCCTCCTCCTTCCGGAGACGTAGTTTTCCGATCTCCAGTGAGGGTGTTCGGCCAGGCGTTTGTCGGCCTGCCGAAGTCGACGGAATGGTTGAGACGTCGGCGTGACAACCTGTGTGGTTATCGCCGGGGCCCTGGGCCAGGGATCTCCCAGTCTCTGGCCAACATGCCGAGCTACCGCTTGTTGGCAGATTCGGAGGTTTCCTTTTCTTCGGCATGAAGTTTCAAGGTGGCGTCGTTCAGACGGTTCTCGTAGTACGACAGTTCAGCCAACAACTTCGTTCTATGGAGTGTGGCTCGGATCTATCTGTGAGGTCTGCGTAAGTGCTTGGCTGATCGTGTCTATGTGAGCACGAGCCAATTTTGCCTGTTGACGCAATTCCTCTGCGGTTCTGCCGTTGGTGTTGATTTCCTGGACAACCGCAAGGTGGAGGCATCGACGTTACGACCTGTGG